TATCTTCATGTGGTATATGGACTGGCTCCTGGGACTGGGCTAGCGAAGCTGAGTCAGCTTGGCAGTGGGAGAGTGAAGTGCTCTGCCCCACTTCTCCTGCTTTCTTACCCTCCCCTAAACACCTTTGATTTCCTTGCACATCACGTTGGCTTTTAATGAATTTCAAAATACTGGCTATTATATTTTAGGCTGACTTCTTCACCATCTTGGGTATCCTGGCTTGGGGGAAGAACACCAGACAGCGTTCTATTTCATTATTCCCTGTATCCTTGCTGGTGTGCGGATGCAGGATCCGCTGCTGGCACCAAGTGGCTGTGAGTGGAAGCTGCTCCGGAGGTGTTGGATTTGCCGGCCATCTGCCTCGCGTGTGTAGATTTTGGGGCTGCAGTTTGGAGAGGGGTAAGATACCCCCCCACACACACACACACACACCCATTCCCTCCCCAGTTTTCCCCACAGTGAATGCTGTGCACAGGAGCTGCTCCGTCCCACACCAGCTGGTGCCCTGTGATGCCAGCGGAGCGATTGCCTTTGTCGTGCTTTTCCTTTCAGTGAGATATATGAAAGGGAAAAAGGCTGTCGGAGAACTTGTTTGCTTCTAATAAATCTCAGAGTGCTCTGCCCTGCATCCCATCCTTGTGGGGTTTGGTTGTTTTTTTCCCCTCCCCCAGCGACTAAAAAATTAACCTGTAATGTCACGTGCATGAAGGCAAACGATCACGATTACCTTAGAAAGGACACTATTTTTTTTTCCTTCTCGAAGATCTGGGGGATTTTATCGCTTAACACTGATCATAGACTGTGTTTTGAGTACTGAAAGAAAAATTACTGTAGGCTTTGCACCCTCCTTCATTTTCAAGCAGACACAGTGGGTGAGCTGTGTTCAGTTGGCCAGAAAACGTTCCAGAAGGCAGGAAAGCACAGATGTAGTACCTCTGCTCCCAGCCAGAAGCTGAAATCAAGGGGTTTCCACTCGCAGATCACTTGAAGCCAAGTGTCTTTATGATTTTGTTGCTTTTTCTCGGTTCAGTGGTGATTATATTTGAATTTGGAAACTGGTTGTTGACCAGCTCTCGCTTGCCAGCCCCTTTCTCAGCTGGCCTTTGCGACAAACACCGCTGCGTGCCCGTCTACGGGAGGGAAGAACGCTTGGCTGCCGGGAGTTGACTTTGGGCATCTGTGAGTGTTTTGGTTTAATGTTAGGGGTGTTTGTCTTAAAGTGAGATTAACCCAGAATAAGAAGCATTAATTCCATGGGTTTTAAATTTTTTTATGAATAACACTTGTGTGGTGTTTTGACTCGTTACTGCACCTGATGACCACCTGCAGAAATTAAAAGTTGGAAATAGTTTTGGAGCCCACGGGGAGAGGGAATGAGTGGTTTTATTTACAGGATCTCAGGACAATTTAGTACTTCAAAGAGATTTGTATATATAAGTTACTTTATTCATCTTGGATTTGTTTTATCTTTATTTTAACCTTTCACACAGTCTCTCAACTATGCAATAAATCAAAAGGCTGAAGCTCTATTGTCTCACGCAGCGGGTCTGCAGCAGTTGAGGCTCTTGCTGTTGCTGTGGTCAGGACTTGAGCTATGGCAGTAGGATAGGCGCCCTACTTCATTTTCCATAAATCTTGTAAGATGCCAGAAGTATTGCAAGCATCAGCATGTTGATAGTGCTCCATGTTCTTGACACTGCTGCTCAGAGCTGGTGAGGTCTTCGTACTTCAATATTGGTGTTATTTTTAAGAGATGCTGTAGAAAGGTTTGTCTCCAGAAGGGCTTTCCCCGCCTGCCTTGGGTCATGTCCTCGACAGCCGATGCAGTAGCACTTGTTGATTTTTATTTTTACTGTAGTACGGAAGAATCCCCAGTACCTGGTCTACACCATATCGCCCAAACCCAGAGTTGGCATGTTTTGTACACCTCTGTCTGTCCTTTCCTTGTGTGAGTGAGGGTTGGAAGCATGCCAGTAGTACCTGCTGGGAGACTTCTGTGCCAGTATGCTTCGTTTTCATAATGTAAAAGGATTAGCGGGTGTCAGGTGGGGTCAGGCAACCTCCTGGGGAAAAAATTTGTCATGTGGCTATTCAGGCCTATTGGTCCAGCTACAGCTTCCCGCCAAGGAAATCCCCAAAACCCTGAGGACCAGAGGTTGAGAAGGTAAATCACAGGAAGAATAAGCATTTTTTTCCCATCGCTTATTCTCTAGCTATAAGTGTTTAGTAATAGGTGCCACTAAAGATAACTCAGATTATCAGTTTTCAATAGTGACGTTTGAGGTGCAGAAGTTAGTCTGCATTGAATTTTACACGTAATCCTGCTTAAAGTATGCTTGTCTGCCTCTCTCCCAGCTGCATAGCTACAGACATTGATTGGAAACTACAGCACTGTTCTTAATGTACCAACTTCCCCCAGGTAATCCTTAAACTTTAGGGGTGTTTCATCATCTTTTATTTGGGAAAACCCAAGCGAGGGGTGCTGAAGGGCTCGCTGAGACCCTCAACAGCAGCAGTGGGGCAATCGCCTTGAACATCTCAGAGTCATGGCTGAAAATAGGAAAGAAAGAGGAAAGCTGAGCTGAAACAATGTGTTTCATAATCGTGTTCCTGTTAAGACTCCTTCAGCGTGGTATTTGGAGGACAACCCCACTTTCTTATCCTAAAGCTGGCACAAAAAGGCTTTGTGTGAGACATAGGGAGAAAAATTAAGATGAAAAGGTTTTTTTAATTTTTCCAGTAGTACAAACTTGACCACTGTCTGAATGCCTGGTTACAAAAAACTATGAGGAGTTGGCCCTTTTTAATTTTCCTCATCTGCAAGACTGCGGGGAGCTGTGCTGCTTGTTACCCCCTGGAGCTGCACAATGTCTGCTCCTTAATGCAGAGACGGGGGGAGAGGACCGGCGGGCTTTTAGATGCTGACTCAAGACTTTTCTAAGCATATTCACCACTTAAGGGGTTGATTTGAGATATTTGGACCCGTTTCATATCCTTTAATAAAAGATGCTACCTAAAGCTCTGCTAGAACTTGGGATATTTGAAAGCAGTTGGTAGAAAAAGACTGGTTTGCATCTTTTGGGATAAAATTAGGAATGTTATGGCAGAAGAAAGCATCGATGCTGCTTTTGAAACAGTGTTGACTGCGAATTTTTGTGTCCCTTGGGTATTGTAAAACTTCTTCACATTCTTCAGACATGCCAGAAAGAACTACCTCTGCTTTTTTAATGAACACCACATGCTTTTCTTCCAAATGAGTTTTCCTTCTCCTTTCCCCAGCACACAAGAAGGGGAGAGGCCCATGTTTTGCGTTATGAGTAACCCCCAAAGTCTGCATCAGCTAACAGTAAAAAGCACCATCTCTTTCCCAAATAGCGTGTGGGCCACTCCCACGAAAGCACAAGATGCTAAGCAGCAGAATTTGTCCAGTTGGAAGCTGCCTCCTGCCAGTGTAGTCCATCCAAACCCCTCCAGCCCTGGTGCTTCATGCATTTCAAATGCAGTAGAAATCACTTAGTGTCCCACTGGGAAAAGCAGCGAAAGTCTGGCTGATGTGCTAATAATTAAAAAAATATTTACCCTCAACTTGGCATTAGCATGGAAATGGTAATAGCTTGTTTGCAAGCAGCCTAGTCACTATATAGCGTAGCTGAAGAGCACTGTATATTAAAAGTGTATATAGCTGCTGTGTCTGGAGCTCTGCCTACACAGGATTAAAAGGAAGGCTGGTGGAGCTGCCAGCTTTCATCTCCCCACCTTGATCTCGGTTGGGTGCTTTGCTGTTTTTTGTAATTATGCTGCATAATTAAGCATAGAAGAGTGGTTGAAGCAGAAATGGTTAACTCACTGAGTAATATAATGTTGAGTCAGTGGTACGAAGTTGTTCTGTAGGAGTTTAAAAATGAATTTTGTTGTTAAATGTTATCTTCTGGCTTGTGATCAGCTATCGTATAGGTCATACGTTTTCTGATAAATTTGAAGGAAATCAAATTAAGGGATCCCAAATGGCGATATATGTGAAACTGAAGTCAGTTGAAGTCTAACGCTTATGTTTGTAGAGCCTCAAAGAGGCGGAGGAGAAAGGGAAAGGTGAAATCTGCATTACTCAGCAGAGACCTGGTGCTCCAACCCAGCACCTTCCCAAGTTAGGGAATTGCTCTTCCCACCTCCCCTGCAGCCAGGAGAACATAAGCTAAAGCTGGAGAGATGGATTAAGGGAGAAAATCCCTCTCTGCTGAAGGGCTTGTGGAAATATCTGCAGGGGCCTCACAGCAGCATTTGTACGGGGCGGGTACTGGTAGGGGCTGAGGAAGGTGAGATCTGGAGAACCTCCACGACCCTTCCCTTGCTGGGACGCTGGTACAGGGCTTGGAGCAGAGAAGAGCTAAAATGAGACTTAGTTTCTGCAAGACTCTTTCTTTCCTGGTTTATTAACCCCCATCCCCCTTTATAGCAGTCATAGAACCGCTCCTACGTGCACTTCTTTTGAAGCACGCGCTTGCACGTTAGCTCTGTCCTGCACAGCTCTTTGATCAATCAGAAAAGGTCCCTGCAGCAGCCAGATTCTCTTGGTGCTAATTCAGACCTCTGAGCTGGAAGTGCGTGTGAGGAGCACCTTAGTATTTCTTCTTGCTTTCCACCCCTTTAGAGACCTGTGGACATTAGCTTGGTTTCAAGTTAAGGTAATCATCCTGCCTTTTCAAGTCACACTCTACAAATGCTGGCCCCCTGTGAGATAAAACTAGGAGGGTGAGACGCAAAGATTTCTTTCCAAAGTTGTCCAGGGAATAGCCTGTAGGGAAAATGTTGACTTATTGTTGGAGACAATCCTGGGGAAAGCAAGCGTTCAAATGCATTAGGGTTTCTTCTTCACAAGTGGTTTCCTGCAACGCTCATTTTTTGTTACAGTGCCATTTTACACCCTTACCCCGGATGAAGCTTTCTGCTGCGTGATCTTGTATTCACCTCCCCCTTTTATTTTTTCCCCCCCCTCATTCCAGTTTGAGCGGCATGACCCGGTGGAGGGGCGGATCACGGAGCGGCAGTTTGGCAGCATGCTGCTGGCCTACAGCGGGGTGCAGTCCAAGAAGCTCACCGTCATGCTGAAGCAGCTCAAGAAGCACTTCCAAGACGGAGAGGTCAGTGGCATTCACAGCAAATTCGGGAAGTGGTGGTGGGGGCAGCCGTCCCACACCACGCTGAGAAATGAGTAAGCAATCTCCGTCTTCTTAAGAAAAGCATCCCCACCTTGTGAAGCAGTGGAGGGAGACACACTGCCTTTGCAGATAATAAATACTTTGCCAGCAGCGGGGAGGTGGAAGAGGTGCGAGTGCAGCGGTCAGTGTCCAGATCAGGGTGTAGGCTTGTCCCTATTAAAATGGATGCCGTAATTTTCAAAAATTTAAATTCACTGAACAGCACCCTGGGTCTGGAGCCAGAACAAACATTGAAGACAAGTTCCTTGTTACTGGCTCGACCTTGGATTAATTAGCTGCTGTGGCTGGGCAGGTTATTACTTAGTTATTAACTTATGTGAAAAATTATCTGAATTACTCGTGATTTAGAGAGGAATAAGGTTGCAGATCCTACACTCATTAATTTAGCGAGACCTTGGAATAAGACTTCTGTACCAAAAGGACGTGCCTTATCAGGTAAGGCAAGTACGGGCTGCTAAATTACTTCAGGATTAGAATTTCATGTCTGCCTCTATAAAGATGGATTGTTCTTTTATTAACTAGATTATAAACAAGTGATCTGTCAAAATGAGAATGGATGGAAAGTCTTTGGCTGCATATTGGGTCAATCTGACTGTTTTAGAGCCACTTTCTCCTGACATCAGATCTGACATTTATTTCTTAACTGGTTTAGATGCAAAGTGTGTTATAAAACACAAGTGTTGGCCAGGATCTAGTCCTTTTTTGTCCCTTTTTGGTGCCTTAACTGGACTTGTGTGATGTGCAGGAATCCTCAGTTCATGTGAAGCCACTTCGATGACTTTTTTGCCACTGTTTACTCCCTCTCTTAGTGGTGCTGGGGGACAGTTTCGACATACTAAAGCAGTGGGACAGGTAGACTAATAGGTCTCTATTAACTGCAAATAATGTTGAAATGTTAAAAACTGGAGGAAACAGTAAGTAAGCCAAAAGGCCATGATCAGAGTTGTGTGCCGGACAGAGGAGCCATGGTACCTGGAGGTTCTTGTGGCCTCAGGGTGCCAGGAAGAGCATTTTTTTGCAGATTCCCTCATGTTTTGTGGGAAAACAGGCTCAGTGTTTAATAGACTGTTATCAATAAACAGTGTCAACATGTCATCGGAGCTGACATGCATTGTGTGTTAATATTTGGAAATCTCACTTCTCAAGCTCTTTGTCACTGGCTTAAATAAGACCATTGAGGTTTCCAAGGTTATCTCCATTTATATGACCTTTGAGCGAGGTGCTGCAGATTTGACTTCTCCAATACCTCTGCTCCCCTTGAGTTTCAACAGGAAACATTTGATTTTTCATGAAAAAAATACTCCACTGTGATGTGTGTCTAACAGAAAATATCAGCTCTGTTTGTTACATTCCCAAACTGTTGATTCTTTTCCTGTGAATTGTGACGGGTTTTATACATATTATTGAACAGTAGCTGAGTGTATTAAAAATTAGGCAGAGGGAGTTATTTCAGAAGGTTTCTTACAGCAGATGTTTTCTTTCTTTCATGTGTAAGCCGAGACCCTGACATCCATGCTAGAGACAGAACTTTTTGGTTTTACTTTATTCCTCATCACTGAATCTACCAGATTGTGCTTCTACTTGCAGATAACTAGATTCAGAGCAAGTCTTTTTCTTTCTTTGTTCCAAGGACTTTCAGGGAGAGAAATTGGGGAACAGGATAAAAAATGACAGTTGAAAGAAATAGAATTGGTGGAAAACACAGGATTCCTTAGACCAGGGGGAATGAAACACCCAGAATCCTAAAACAAGACGGCCTCTCTGTTAACAAGTACAAGATATTTAATGGTTTAAAGAGTTGTAAAGGATGCAAGAAGTGCCAGCTGCATTGCACTGGAGACAGATAAGCCGTATTTGCAGCCAGGGCAGCTGAACATCCGTGCTTATGCAGAGCTAGAGAAATCCTCCACTTCAGCAGGTTTTAGCTGACGAAGAATCCAGCCTGGTGCCTAACTTTGCATTATCTTTTATACAAGGGAACCTTTTCTTGAAAATTTGCAGGGTTCTTTTTTCCCTGAGGTATTTTAGAAGACCATATCCCTTGCAGATTTGTGTGCAGCACTTTGTATCTAAATGTACTTAAGTACTTTTATTGGATCACTCTGCTGCAGCTGGCAGGGTTTTTACGTAGCTTAAATTTCCCCATCTCTTTAGAAACAGGACTGCCATGACCAGAATCACATTAACCACCTTTCTGGATAACTTATTCAGGGATGTGCTTGCAAAGTTTTCTTTGTAAATGAATGGAATATTAAGGCAGAGAGTGTTCTCCCACTTGAGACTGCGAAGCTTGACGCTGGCGTTGCTTCTTCCTCTGTGTTTGTAACCCAGACATCTGCAGAGCAAGCAGCTGCTTCGGTCAGGCTCTGCCTTACACCCACCCTATAAAAAGGGAGCGGAGCTGGTGCTATCCACTGCTCTCTCTTTGGCTCCTAGACCTCAAGGAGGTGTTAAAGCCACCCAGCCACGTCATTTATCCTGCAGTACTTTCCACTCACCGAACACCTTGTAGGTCAGAGAGGTTTATGATGCAAACATATTTTGAGGGAAGAATTTTTTTCCCAAATCCCTTCTTTTCACGCTTCACAAGCCTGCCTTTATAGCAGCGTAGTATCATTATCTGAGCAGTTGACTAACTTGCTGTAACTCCCCTCTACGCCGAAAGCAGTAGGGGCTTTGCCTTGCTATTGCTTTCCAAAGAAAGCAGAGGTAAATGATTTTCACAGTGTGATGCTGGGAGAGGAATGGCAGTGATTGTACCGAACTTACCTGACAAGCTTTACCTTGGAAATGCAATTTACCGTGAGTGCTTTCTTATGAAATCTGCCAAATATTGTCTTAATTGTCTGATGCAGTTACCTTTTCTGCACAAGGCAATCCTTGCAAGCACTTCCACATACTCAGTTGGTATCTGGAAGGTTAAAGCTCTGGTTTTAATCAAACCTTTAGCCATATTCCAACATCGTTATTCTACTTCCCTGCTTTTGGGAATGGCATGTTTTCTTGTATTAATTGATAATCTGCTTTCATTTTTACATTTCTTGAGGAAAAATCCCCTCTTACCCTGGATATGTGAACTTCTCTGCATATTCAGCAGAGCTGCCACAATCTGCTTTGTTTAAAATTGCTTACGGTCCTACCCCTTGAGTTATACTTACACAGCTGCTTTTCTCCTACTTGAAAGGACTTGAGTTGTCGGTATTATTTGCAAGCAAGGTATTTGGTTTATATCTCTCTAACTGCTAGAAAACCAAGCTGACTCTTCAGAAACTAGTGATCCGGGTCATCTTCCACATGTGCTTTGAGGGCTGTGTAGCATATTTTTCTGTTGAGATGGCAGATGGTGGGAGTGAGATATAATTCTCCCCATCTGAAACCTGGATTCCCAGGTGAAAAGCCCTAACTTTTGAAAAAGGTGTTTGAGCTATCGTAAGATGCATGTTACAACAGGTATGTGTTTCTGGAGTCTGCCTGCTTCTGTATCACTAGTACTACTTAACTGATGAAAGGATTCAGGTTTATGAATCAACAGCTAGATCTACAAATGCCTTGAAAGAAGTGATCATCCAGATCCCATAATCTCTACCCTGGTGCTCTCCAGATACGCGATTTCTTGTGATTCCAAATTAACACAAGCTCCTGTTGTATAATGGAAACTTCTATTGGTCTTCCAGTGGAGATACGAATAACTTACAAAGAGCTGAGCGGTGCTGACAAACACAACAATAGGGAATAGATAAATGCCCATATTTGGACTTCTTACTGATGAAGGCGATCATTCATCTGTCAGCTTGTTGGTGCTGAGGCTGTCCTAGTGTCTGATTTTATTTTCACTTTGGTAGCCGGAAAGGAAACGGGGTTCATGCCAGCCTCAACTACAGGATTCATCAATAAAATGCTAACTTTCGTAATACTGATGGCATTTTTGCTACAGAGTTTCAGTATCTCTGCCCACATGAAAGCCCAGATTTGTAGGATGCCCTTGTACATCATTGCTTTTGCTTTTTCAGGTGGTGAAACGCTCACAAGTTTAGGTGTGTAAGTATGTAAACCTTCCCTGTCACCTGCTGAAACAATACAACTGCAGTGTTGGTACTAAACAAGGGGCAGTTTTTCATAGACAGCAATGCTGTTTGGCCTTGACCTCTGGCATTTCGTGGTGGAAAATTCCAGGAAAATGCTAAGCTGGGGCTCTTTGCTTGGAACAGCTGCTGGGGTGCCTTGTAGCCACTATTGCAAACCTCACATGTCCCAAACAGAGCAGGTAAACCGCAGCAAAGTGTCTTCTGCTGGCCTGAAAGCGTCCACATGCCTTCTGGTTCCTCCAAGCTTTCCACATTTTTAGTGCTCAGCTCCCAGGCAGGAGCATGTCAGTCTGAAAACACATAGCAGGGAGGTGTCCAGATGGGCATCTGAATTGCAAAGATCTTTACTCCTCTAGTTCTGTTGTACAAAACAGAGGAATTTTTTCAGTACTTCCTGCAGAAGTACCAGATTGATTTGTTTTGTTTTGTTTTGTTTTTTGTTTTTGTTTTTGTTTGGTTTTTTTTTTTTTTCTGGGACAATATTTTATTTAATTCTGCCATACATCTTTCAGTGTACCCCTTGGCAAGCGGAGCAGGTAATCCTATAAAGAAAGATTCCTGTACAGTAACTGGGGATTTTTTTCAGATCCGTTGTCCATGTGTGCATTTTGCTGTCTCATCCTTTTTGATCTGGATCTGTGAATCCAGGGCTGACAAAGCCTGCTGTTGCATTTGTTGGTGTGCACTCCGTGCAGTGTACATCAGCAGTGCATCGCCACGTACTCAGTTACAGCAAAGATAGGAACAAGCTGCAAATTTTCTGCAATTCCTTCTGCTTACAGTTCTAGAGGCACCATGTCTGTATGAGAGGATTGTAAAAAATGTGCTTTTTCTTTCAGAAAAGAAGATAGGTGGCTTCTTCCCAGATTAGAAGTTATTTGAGCAAGGTTACAACGAAGTGTATAAATTTGTATTTGTCAGTACCCGCTGAATGTTGTGGTCATCCATCCAGACCATGAAACTGTGCCGTGTTATGCAGTTGCTAAATCAGTCTGTTACGCTAGACAGGATAGGAGGAGCCTGAACCCAAACTCCTCTCGACAAGCTGATTTCTCTTCTAGAGGAGCAGGCTGAGTGGTTATTACTGTGGTGATGATTTACCTCCTCCAGTGGCTCCGGGCCGTGGCTGTGGTGGGGGAGTTTGGAGGCTGCAGCTCTTGCCCCAGCCCTGACGCCGTTGTGCTGGTGCTAAAAGGGTCGATAAAATCGGATGGAGTGTAGCTGGGTGGGGGTCCCAGGGCCGTGCTCGTCGGTGGCTGCTCTCCCAGAGCTCCTCACTGGTTGCATCGGTGCAGGGAGGAGGGTGTTGCTTACCCCCAGCCATGCTGGGATGCAGCGGTGCCAGCGCTGGGTGATCTCAGGAGGCTTTTCTGTGACTATCCAGGCGTGTGGCTGTGGGCACTCACCGAGCACACACTCGCCAGCCCCAGGGTGAGAGGAGCCCCAGGTGACTGTGCCGGTAAGTAGAGCTGCCAGCGATGCAGCCCCGCAGCCATCCTGCCACCAACAGCGAAGCTAACTGGGGCACATCTGTCCGTGTGGGTTGCAATGTCACCTTCTGCCACACTGAGTAAGACGTGGGATCCCCCCGGGGATCCCTGAATCTCTTGGGAGAGACATTGCAGGGCGTGAACTATTTCATTACTGTCGTTGCAAGTGTGCAAGCTTAAAAAAAAAATATATATCTATAAATGAACCTGCTTGCAGCAGTCTCCCGGATCCCAACCACAGCCTCATGGTGTGCCCGCTTTTCTGGGCGAGAGCTGGCTGTGGAGTGAGGGCTGGAAAAATGCTTTTTGGTCTCTGCCACTGCGGACTGTGCATGAGGCAGTCCCTTCCCATTGCACGACTGGTGGGACCAGGAGGGGAGCAGAAGCGGTTAATAAAAGTACAGGTCACAAACCATATCCTCAGGTGCCAAGGTTAGGAGTGTTTTGAGCATGCAGATGAATTCTCCTTTGACTACAGCTTTCAGCCGATGAGTCGCTTTGTCATTTGTAATCCAGGTAGTGTCAGGATCTGCTTTTCCTATCACCATAACACCATCATTTCTGTGTCCTAGGGGCTGACATTTGAGGAGGTGGAGAGCTTCTTCACTTTTCTGAAGAACATCAACGACGTGGACACTGCTTTGAGCTTCTACCACATGGCTGGGGCTTCGCTTGATAAAGGTATTAAACCCTGTGAGATGGACAGGCTGAAACCTTGAGGGAGTGTGACTTGTGCTGTATCTCTGGAGTTGGGAAGATGTCGAACGAGCCCATGCTGACAGGTTAAAAGTGTACCAGAATTGTGGTTCCTCCCTGTATCCATGGACACAGCAAGTTAAACTCCTCATTAAAGAGGGATTTGGGGTTTTATACTTCCCCAGTTTTAGATATAGAGGGGGGAAAAAAGGCTGAACTGTATAGCCTGAATAGATTAGTAAGTGGTGGTATCACGGTGATATCTTCAGCGGGACTGTTCGGGCCTGATGCGTGCAAGAGACAAGATGACCTAGTGAGCATATCACAGGCTCTGGGACCAGATCCCAGGCACACTAGTGTTTCTTCTTCATCCCTGTCTTCTGAAGTGCCGTTTTTTTCCTCCTTTCACAAAGCACTTGAAAAATGATTGTTGGCAGAGACAAGCAATATTATAAGAAACAATCTTGCAAGCTGTATCTTCTGTAGAGGTCTCCGCGGTTGACGCGGCAGAGGCACAGTGGTAGGAACTGTTCAACCTTTGTTTTGTTTCAACTTGGCTTAAAAATAAGAAGCTTTGCCTAGAAATAAGAGCTATATGGCCAGATGCTGCATTTCTGATCGGCAATCCAAGTAATGGCAAGAACTTTTGGAGCTCCCGGGCATGCTGGAGGGAAGGTGGGGAAGCACGGGAATGCCACTGCAGTCCCAGAGTGAGAAATGAAGTCTGTCCAGAGCAGGCTCTCTTCAGATAACCCAGTCCAGAGGCCGCGTGTGGCCGGAGGAGCTGGCTGGATAAACCCCAGAGCTGGTGTTTCCTAGGGACCTTGGTAATAGTGTGGTTCATGGATTGGACCAATCCATATCTATCTTCATCTCATCATGGGTTTCTTTTTCGGAGTTAATCCATATCAGGTATGTTCTCAGATCTGACACAGTGGTGTTTGACTTTTTTTTTTAAAGTAAAAAAAAAAACTCCACCATACATTTAAAAAAAAAAAAAAAAAGCCCAGCTCGCTGCTGCCAGGATCTGTCACAAGTGTGTGTTTTTCTTTACTAGATTTTTTTTTTTCTAAGAGTTGTTTTTTTAAAACACTCAGACTGGGAATATGAAAAAAAAGATGCCAAACTCATTAAAGGCTTTTTAGGCTAAGTGGAAACTCTTGTCTACTAGAAAGTTAAATCTGATGTATTTAGGCAGCTGCAAAATTAAATGTTTTGGAAGTAAGCTATTCTTCCGACCGCTGCTGTTGTTGGAATATTAAGACATTAATAGGTTTTTGGGCAGTGGAATTACAAAGGGAGTCAGATGTGTCACATCTCGAGTGTGTCAACAGCCCTTCTCATCTTTGATTTTTTTGGGGGAAATCATCCATGCTATTTGTTTTAGATCACCATTATTGTAAGACTTAAAAGAACCGGATAGGATTTTCTTTTATTTAAAAGTAAAAATATGATGTATGGATGTGCTGCTGCTGTGCAGAGCGCTTTCTGCAGTGTCCCAAGAGGAGGTAATAGCCCAGCAAATCCAATTTACTCAGTGTCTGCAGTAAATTAGCAATTGCCCTGTCGTGAAATATGTATTTGTGGAGCATTGAGGTCCGCGTGCAGTCGGTAAATCAGTGTGATTACTGTTTAATTACATGCAATTAATGAGCTTGTGCTGGAGCAACAGCCATTGAGCTGGGAGTATTTGGCAGGAGTAAGTAAACCTTGGGGAGGGTTGGTGGGGTGCAGGGCACGGCTTCAAACCACTCGCAGTTGTCCCCAGACCCCCGTCCCTGCCTGCAGGGGCCCGGCTGTTGAGAGAGATTTCCTCGAGCTTGGGCAGGAGGGGAGGGTTATCCTGCAAATCCCTTCTTCCTATGTGTCTGGTAGCTGACACGAATCACCCCTCACGTCCTTCTTTCTGTGCTGCTGAACCCGGAGATGCTCTGGGCAGGAGGCATGAAGAGAGCGTTTTGCTGTGGTCCTCACGAAGGTGCAGAGCAAGCTGCAGCGATGCGCTTGGGTTTTGCAGCAGGGATCTGTGTGCTCCTGTTGCTAAATTTTCTACGCATTACCCGTTTCCATATGCGTGCGCTCAGAGTCTGGATATTGCACCCACAAATCAAGTAAGCAATAAATGGGGTGTACTCTTCCAAAAGTCCAGCTTTCACAGGGTTGCTTACTGAAAAACAACAAATGTAAAAATTACTCATCATATGGGGAGGAGGAAGACGATAGTTTGTGTATGAAATAAATCGCTGCTAACCTAATGCAGCAAGTGTTGTTATAATTTTAGAAGGGTTGTTTAAAAGCTAAGAGGCAAAAAAATGGATAGCACCAAACAGCCACAGCTTGACAACTTGTTTTATGTGTTGAATTAAAGTAGCCTCTTCTTCGAAAAAGGATCATAAACCTGTATTTTAATGACCCATAGAATAACACACAGATTATTTGTTAGTCCATCTTTCATTTTACCAGAAACATAATAGCCGTCATTCGCTTAAATAATAAGCATTACTTAAAAAACTTTCCCAGCCTGGGTTTACAGCTGGCAGCAGGACAGGAGCCAAATTCATCGCTTACTCCCCTTCCAAGGCGAGGGTGTGAATTGCACTTTTTTTTTTTGGCACCGTCCGCAGCCAGGCTTTCCGAGCAGCCGTTCTGCTGGCGCCGGCAGAGAGCCACGGTGTGGCTCCTTTGTGTTTTAGGGCAAGGCACAGATGCGCTTTGGTAGAGGTGGGCCAAAGCGAGGGGAGACAGCTGAGCCCGCTGCTTCACGCCTCGGGAGTGGGGCTGAAGCCCGGGGAGGGGCTGATGGAAGATCGTTTTATTTGAAGGACGGAGCTTGAAACGGCTGCCAACTTGACGGGGAGTTTGGAAGGAGGTAAAGGTGAGCTTTGAGTGCAGCATGTATATGTTGTCACATTGCTGCTTGCTTTAATCTGCCTTCAGGGCTGGAGGAATGCAGTCAGTCGTGTGTCCTGTCCCCCCCCAGAGGCACAGCTCAGATTGCTGCTCTGGAGTAGTTGCATGTAGGCAACGAGGAATTTTGTAGGGTAGGTGACATTGGCTGGGATCTCTGGAGACCCTTTAGTCCAACAGGGTTGCCTACAGCAGCTCGTCCAGGGCCACCTTCGGTCAGGTTTTGGGTATCCCCAGGGATGGAGAAGCCACTCTGGGCATGTAAGAAAGCCTGGATGAGTATTTGTGATAATTGGTGAGAAGGAGAAGAGTCGAATGATGAAATCTGGTGTCCTGCAGAGGCAAGTCAAGGTCACCATTTGTCACCTTTTCTGCCCTCACACCAGTGTGCTGACGAGCCTGTATGTGTGCATCCTGATGGAAAGGGACTGGGGAAGTGCTTGGTACTTGAGGACACTGTGGCCGTGCCCTTGATCAGGAGGGGTTTGGAACTCACCTGCCCTTTGGATTTTTTTTTTGGTACCCGCACAATTACGGTGTGGTGTTTGCTGAGCACCGATGCAACGAGTTGTTGGGCGCAGCCCCGTCTCAGCAGAGGATGCCTGTTCACAAGGCTTCAAGAAATCAGCTCGGTAACCCTGAGGGCAAGCTCTCTGTAGATCAACGGCCCCTGGCAGATGCTGAATACCTTTCAGTCTAGAAACCACTTCCTGTGTTGGAATCCCCTTTCTTTACTTATTTACTGCAGCAAATACTACATAAACAGTGGATCAGCTCTGCCTTTGAGCTGGTAGCTCTGCTTTTTTCCCCCGAAGCACGATCTCCATGACTTTCCATCATGTTCCCATTAATGTCAGAACAGTTTCTACTCAGCTGCAGGGCTGCAGACTTGCATTTTGAGAGAAAAAAAAAAAAAAAAAAGAAAAACATGCTGTGCCACAGGATTGCATAGAGTTTGTACATCTCTTTTCTGGATGGATATTCTGGCGCGTACACATGCAGATGATTTGAGAAAAGTTTATTTGCTAGCTATATTGTCAGTGATGGCATCCAGTGTTTCCAACTGGGATGCTTAAAATAGAAATCTGCGTATCAGACGTTAGACCCTACATAGCCTGATTTCTGGGACCCCAAAATACACGTGTCCTGCCTCTGCAGCCTGGAGCTGCCCAGGGCAGGGAGCCCCGCTCCCGTCGCCCCGGGTGCTGTTTGGGAAATGAAGGCAGCAGCCCAGCTGCCCGTTATTTTGGCCAAATGTGTGATTAATCTCAAGACAGAGGAAAAAAGGTGAAGTTTGCCATCTGGCTAGGCTCTGGCCTGTAGAAGAGCCCTGTTTGTAAGCGCTTGGTGAGGCATTACGATGTGGTTCTGGGAACTGGAGTGAAAAAAAAAAGATAACTGTGTCAGACACTAAACTTGCATAAAATAACTCAGATGGCTCATTAAAGGAACCAGTGGGAGACACTAACACTTGAAATTTTAAAAGCTGCATAGATTTTCAAGGTAGAAATGTGGAATTCATTTTCAGTGGTATAAAATCCAGGAAACTTTCCCGTGTGGAGATGGATGCAGCCATCCTAAAACCCAAATCAAATCTGGACAAGCTTTGTTTTAAGAGCTGTTTCCCTTGAGACCATCTATTTTGTCTGGCAAAATGGTAAAGAAATGATGCTGGGGGGCTTACTTCAATTTTATTTGCCTCCCTGAGATACCTTGTAGTCTGGAGTGTGTGCATCAAAGTGGAGAGCAGAGACACTTTCCCCTTCCTTATGACTCCTTAAAAAACAATAAAACCATTACTGGGCACAGCACAGTCACGCAGCCCCTGTGAAATAACATTTTTGCAGAATTTTTGCATCGAGCAAGAACAATGTGATAGAGGGGATGCTTGCGTAGCTGGATTAATAAGAGAGGAAGCAGTAACTGGTGGCTGTAAGCACATACTACACCTGGTAAAACTGCAGCCATAAAAAATGAGCACACGTCAAAGAGGAGGGAAGGATCGGGTGACCACCTATAGAGATCGAAGGAGAGGGGTGAAAACCCAGCGGTAAAATATGACTTATAATTTAAGAAATCATTCTAACTTTTTTTTCCATATAAGGCAAATAACTTCTTCGATAGGGTATTTGGGGAACCATCAGGAGAGGATGGTATCAAAGCTTGCTTGAGCACCTTTAAGGAAGATTAACATTTAAGATGAGTTAAGTGAAATTCAGTGTTGCTGTCTGAGGAAATACAGATTTGCTTTGGCTCTCTGAAGGTCTGGGTCTCAGGTAAGCCATGGCTTATAGCTCTTAAAACCTCTGCCATTGCCAAAGTTGAGGTGTTTTACAGTACCTCCCCAGCAGAAAGACTTTCTGGGGAAAAACTAAGCTGGGAAATAAGTTTAGATAAAGACTTTCTTTCACCTAAACCTCCTCTTTTTCCTTGAGCTTTACACACTTCAGTGAAGTCCCGCAGCAGTGTGTGTGGCAGGTAGGAGTTACAGCACGTGTTTTGCAGCTGGCTGGAGCTAGGACTGTGTTTAGGGAATGAGCATGGCCTAATTGGGGAGGAGAAAGGCACCTTTTACAAAGGCACATATAAAATGCAGGGGCAGGGCGTTTATCTTGGTAAAAAGGACGGCGCCATCTACCATTCAGCTCCAGCGTTTGCTGCCACTTCATGTTCATGGCGTTTGATCAAGGAGGACCTATAAATACCACATCGTCCCTGTGCAGTTTATAGTCACCCTCTCCTCTGGTTTGGGGTACGTGTGATGCTGGCCATCTCTCGGATCGAGGGGGAAAGCTGAAGGCAGCTTTGTCGTTTAATCTGTGAGCGTTCGATGTCAGTGTGAGCTAATGAAATAAATGATGGACCATTAAAGCCCTTTCTGGAGGGCTGCTGCCATCTAATGCGCCCGCTCACTTGGGTTGCATTCGTTCGATCGCGTTGCATCTTGCTGGCTGATTTGTGCACATTCAGAAGACAGCTGATAGGAAAGGGATGCACGGATGCAGTGGCTGTCCCTGCGCTTAAAATGTGAATTCCCCCATTTCCTTTGCTCTCCAGGTTTTCTTGAGACCTGTGCTGCATGTGTGGCACGGTATATTCTGCAGCCTGGTTGGTGTGAGTGGGCTGGGAGAGAGGTGCTGGTCTCCCCACGGCTCAGTTGGCAAGGTTTGGGTGTAAGGCTGGGGAACAAAATTAATTCAAGTTTTCTTTAATGATTACATTGCCTCTGCCCTCCCCAAAGCAGGCTCTGGCTTCCCACAGGACATGCACAGGAGCAGCGGCCGTATCCTGACTTATGGTGACAGAACTGAAATGTAGAGTAATAACTGCAAAGCAGAGCTACATCTGTCATGTAGGAAAGGATTTTAACTCAAAAAGAATAATTACAGGGAAAGAGCAGGTGCCTACTTGAGATGATATATACTTTAATCCACCTTCTGTTTAATTTCAGTTTCCTCCTGCATTATTTAGTAAAAGGAGGGATTTTATAGGGGGAAAAAGACCTGATGGTGGCTGTGGATTCCTCCCTGAAAACCCCAAACCTGACTCAGGGGAGCAGAAATGGGGTGGGAGGAACCAATAATCTGAACGTTCATTAAAAAAAAAAAAAAAAAAAAAAATCCTATTAGAAACACTTCATGTAGTTTCGAATTAATCCGGTTATGGTATAGATTGGGTGCTTACTTTTTCCTTGCTGACACATAACTCTTCAAAACTTCTGAAGGGCCGGTAGCTCTGCAAAGGGACCAGAGTGCATGAACTCAGAAGGATGCTGTGGATGAAAGCAGAGGGTTTTTTTTTTTTTATTTCAGTCTGATTTTTGTGTCACATCACTTCCCTCTCTTGCCTTGCTGAAGGGGAGCTCCACAGCTGAAGCCTCATCCCAGTTGCTGTGAGCTCGCTGCCGCGGTGCACAGTCTCTCTGGACGGGGTTTCCTCGCGTCGCGCTTTGTAGGGAAGCAATTTAACTTAAAATACAGTCATGTTCCTGCAAAACCCTTCCATTTTCTAGAGTATTTGGAAGTAGCAGTTCAGCCCTGACAAACAGTGCCACGTGAGCTGCTCTTACCTCCCCTCATTCCTTCGATTAGCAGCCGTCAAAGGGAGACTAGAGGGCAGCCAGATGCACTTGAATTCGTGTAGGGAGATGGCTAAACCAACCCAGTGATTTTTTTTTTTTTTTTTTTTCCTCCCTTCATGCAGCAAAATCTACTGCATAACCCTGCCAGATTGATAGCTCCACGGATTGCTCTTTTCTCGAGGCGTGATAAAACTACCACTCGCTTCTTTGCTGATGATCTCAGCTGCCAGTCTTGGGGGAGAAGTGAAACAATTAATTTATAACTCTTTATTTTATTGCAAGGTTAACCTTGTCTGCTTGCTGCAGAGCCTGTCGCAGGGTGAGGGTGGATGGGTTAGTTCTGCAATTATTGGCCCTGAGTTGCTTAAAAGGAAAAATGGTTTTTATTATTCCCAGCCTGCTGGAATAGTCGGTTCATGGAATATCATCTTTGCAACACTGTCGGAAGGAGCTGCCTTGTTGATCAAGCCCATCAGGAGAGGTTTCCCACCTGGTGTTTGCTGTAGTGCTGACGCTTCTGATTCTGTAACCAAAGCGGGGAAAAAACATCCCACCTTGGTGTTTTTAATGCTTATCTTGAACACGCAGGTGTCAGCACGTCGGTGCTCACCAGCAGCCTCACCCCACCCCGTGCGGTGTTGCAGTAGGATGGCGAAGGCTTTGGGGAGCCTGGTTTTGAGGCAGGTGTCGAAGGGGCTAGGGACGAGGCTTATTTCAAAGCCTCCTTGAACATGACACGTTTTCATAAAGGCAGTTTTCCCTGGAGGAACAAGAGTCTTCCTCTCCTGTGCCCGCGTTCACTGCGGCTGGCGGATCCACGACACCTGGCTAACCTTGGGCCCTCCCTCTGTTGCAGTGACGATGCAGCAAGTGGCCAGGACGGTGGCCAAGGTGGAGCTCTCCGACCACGTGTGCGACGTGGTGTTCGCACTCTTCGACTGCGATGGTGAGTGACCCCCAACCTCGCCCCATTTCTCTCGGCCAGGCTGGGTGGGAGTCGACCCAGGAGAAGAAATACAGGGGGGGAAAAAAAACGCCAGCCATGAAAGCTGGCCATAGCCTTGGCTCTTCTTGCCGTGCTACCCTCCGCTTTTTGGCCGTGGATCCGTACTGATGCTCCTGCCCTTTTAAGAAGAGTATCTGGTGGTACCCAGATTCCGAGATGTTGTTCTTAAAACATTGGATGCAAGCATTTGGCATGCACAGCTTGCTACACAGCTTTCCGCCCGCCTCTCCCCTTCCAAAACTCTTTGTTTAATAAAATGAGCTGTTGTGCTTCAATGTAGGAAACGAGCCTATCTGGTGCTTTGTTATCTCCAAAGTCCTTGACAAATATTAGCTTAATTAATTAATGGCAGCTCTGTGCTCGGCTGGGAAACTTGTTGCTTTCCTGATCCGCAGAGGATGCAAGCGCTTGGGGGTAGTGTGCTGTCACACTGAAACAGTCTCAGGATGATTTAATGAGAATTAGGGGAGTCTTTGCCACCAGGGGATGATGGCAGCAATTCAGACTTGGAAAGTAGCAAAATTCTGCATTTGCCCAAAACTGTCAAGCCAAAACCAGAGACCTTGCTGGCACCCTGCTTCTCCAGCAGAGTCACCGGGATCTGGCAGCTCAAAGTGGCAGCAGTGATGCATACATAAACAGTTGTTTGCTTCCTGATACGAACATTGAAAAAATATCTTTCATTATTTAATTCCTTGTTGTGACCCTCTTGGGTTCAGCCACACCTGCTGCTTTGTATCATTTTAAGATTGCATCTCTTGTTTTATTTTTTCTCTGTGCTTCAGTGCCACTTCCTGATAGATGATCACTTCCTCAAGCCAGATGATCAGGCTGGAAATCAGAGTGAACCGAAGCGTAGCCAAATCGTCTCTGTTTGCATCCTCTCATAGGAGAATCTGCTAAATATTTTGATATTTTAGGGGGAAAGACTGTGGTTGCCAGAGCAGTCCCTGTAAGGAAGGAACTATGTGGAAAAGCAGGCACAGAGCTCTTATTTTTTGCGTGTGTTTTCACTCCATCAGTGTTTATAGACATTACCACGCATGCATCAAAAACCTGCAGCACCAGAGGGAATTTTACTCACCCTTTGATAGTTTGTTGGAATTCTGCTGCCCAGATTTGCATTCGGCTGTAAGGCAGGAAAAAAAATGCTCTCAAATGAAGCAACTCATTCACGAAATACAATGATGTGGTTCCCGGTACCAGCCAGAGAGATTCTCTCCCCTTTGATCTGGGGAACGAATGGCACTGGTGGGTTTGCTTCTTGAGGGCTGGTGTCCCTTCTGTTTTTTTCTGTGCCCAAAGGAGGGTTGCTTTCCTGTGCTGCTCCCCAGAAACTAAAATCAGCACTGCCAGCTGTGCTCATAGGCAGGGGAGCAAAACAGGCAACAGGATCCATGCAGCATCGTGGCAGAAGGCACCAGCCCCTCAGCAGGCGGGCGTCAGGCTGAGTGGCTTGCTGCTGTCCTCTGCCATCAACCAGCGCCCTAAATAAAAATCCCAGAGGTTTTAATTTATTGGTGGTTAAGCAACTACAGAATAAAATTTGCCCCAATTCACTATAATCTTATTTTTAACGTAAATTTAGTTGACATGATTCTTCATAACTTCACTAGGTTACTTTAATGAGTCTTCCCTTCTCCATTCAGAAAAATCTGCACTCTGCTACCCCGTGCTCCTGCCATTTTCTAAATCACTTCAAGCGGAGAGTTTCCCGTGGGTGCCCGGGCATTTGATTTGCATTTGCTTTTCTGCCTTCAAACCTCAGCGTTCCAGGCCCTGCAAGACGTGGCGGTACCAGGCTGAGCGGGACAGCGTCTGTAGGGCAGGGGATTTAAATGCCGTGGTTCGGCAACCCTTGCTCTGCAGGGTATTTTTGGAGGTTGAAGCCAAACGTGATTTCAGTCCCTTTAAAGTTAGTGCATGTGGGGCGGTGGTTGTTGGTGGGTTTTAGCATTTATAATACTTTTTTTTTTTTTTTCTTCTCACAGGGAATGGCGAGCTGAGCAACAAGGAGTTTGTTGCCATAATGAAGCAGCGCCTGATGAGGGGCTTGGAGAAGCCCAAGGACATGGGCTTCACGCGACTCATGAGGGCGATGTGGAAGTGTGCCCAGGAGACGGCGTGGGATTTCACCATGCCAAAGCCATAGCGGGGCCAGGGGGGGGGACACCAGCTTCCCCCTTGGCCCTGCCACCACCGCTGCTGCCGACACCTGCGGGGCGAGCCCAGACTGTTTGTAACAGGAGATTTTTGTAAACGGGAGTTAGAAATCAAAGCCTCTTGTATTTGCAGCTTCTGCCTGCCACTTGGCCTCTCCATGTTCCTCTCTCTCAGGAAAAAGGAATTTTCTTGCTGCGGCCACCTCCGCTTTGCGATGTGCGCTGCCCGCAGAGCTGGTGGGGCTGCACCCACCTGTTTTATTTAATGCGATTACAAAATGGCACGAGGTTTATTTGAAATTCTTAAACGTGGCACTAAGAAAGAAGCTGTGGCATTCCCGGATAGATTGTAGCAGTGGGACCCACTGGCAGAGGCAGGAGCAGCCAGGTGGTGAGAGCTCCCCCGGGATTTTGGTTGGCAAAATGCTCTGTGCTCCCCCAAACTGTCGGGGGGGTAGAGGAGGTGGGTGCACCCCAGGAGGGGCTGCTTGTGCCGAGGTGCTGCCTTGGTGTAAGAGCAGTAAAAGGTGGTGGAGCACCTTTCTCCTGCCTCTTGTAGAAACAAACCTCCTGTGGGAGGTCCGTAATTTTAAATTTTTTTTTTTTTTTTTAAGGGGGTGCCTTCGCTGTGGGGAACTGCCGTTCTGTCACGGGGACGGGCTGAAAGATTTCATGTGCGTTCTGTAAACTAAAGATGTTGCTCACATCAACCTGCCTCGCAGCTCCTCTACTTCTGATTGCTTCAGGTCTTCACACAAGCCCGGGGCGGGGGGGGTTGGCGAGTCGGCGGCGATGGGGCGTTTTGGTGGGGGGGAAAATAGAGAGAGAGGGGGAAAAAAAAAAAAAAAAAAAAAAAAGTGTTGTTTTTTTTTTTTTTCCCCCTCAGAGCGTGTGCTGTGGGTCCTGGCCCTCGCTTTCCCCTCCCCGCCCCGGGGTACCCGTGAGGGCGGGTCACCAGTCCCCAAACCCTCCCTTCCGCATGAAAACGACGCTCGTTGTTTCCCGTGACGCCGTCAGGGCGCCCGTGTGACGCCATCAAGCCGCGCCTCCCCCCCCCCCCCCCACCGTTCCCGCCCGCCCGCAGGCCGCCGCCATGGAGTCGAACAGGGACGAGGCGGAGCGGTGCATCGGCATCGCGCTGGCCGCCGCCAAGGCCAACCAGCCCGACAAGGCGCGCCGCTTCCTGGAGAAGGCGCAGCGCTTGTACCCGTCGCCGCGGGTCCGCGGTGAGCGCCGGGTGGTGTGTGTGTGTCTGTCTGTCGGTCTGTCTGTCGGGGGGGGGGGGTGGGGGGGGGTGGGAAGCAGGGCCTAGGCGGCCGCGCCTGACCTCTCACCCGCACCGCGCCTGCGCACTGCGCGCCCGGCCCTGAGGGGAGCGGGGCGCCGCGTCCCTCGTCCCCGTGGCCTGTCTGTCTGTCCGTCCCCGCCCCTCGGCCACTCCCGGCTTTCGTCGTGAACTGGGCGGGGGGTTTCTGTGAGGAGGGGGCGTTTCTGTGAGGAGCGGGGGTCGCTGCCCCGCAGAGGAGCGCGGTGGTTTTCGTAGTTCCCTCAGTTCTCGCTGCCCTGGCCGGCGGGCGGGAGCGTTCACCGCGAGGATGGCGGGGAAGGGCCTCGGCGAGGCGGGAGGGAGGGACGTTCTCGGTGGGGCTGCAGAAAGCCTCCCCCCTCTCCCGCAACTTGCCACCGGCCCTCAGCTCCGTCCGTCCGTCTGTCCGTCCGTCCCACAGAGGTGCGACCACGCAGGCCCCGTGGGAGCCTTTTTCTAGGATGGTCAAGTGTTGCTTCTCGCCTCGCGGGCCCCCGCGGATTGCCACGGCACAGCTGCCGCGGGTCGCGTCAGTGCACGTGAAAAGCGGCCTCCCTGCTCGAAGACCTTCGGCCGGTTTCACGGGGTGTTGAGGAATCATCTCACTTCCTGGAAGCTTGGTGGCGGACGTAAGCGACGTGTCACAAAAGCAACTGGGAAGTGGTTTGTCCAAGCAGCCAAACACAATTCTTTCTCCATCTGCACTTACGTTGCAGAAATTTGTGCGGAGGGCTGTAGGTATTTAGTTTTTTTCCTTTCTTTACTTGGAGCTTATCTGAGTTTTGATCCTTTGGGGGAGTTTTGCAGCTTGTCTGTCCTGCAGGGAGCCCAAAGCTCCCTGTAATCCTCTCTTTGGTTGCATGAGGGTCATTCCCGTTCCCTCAAATGTTGCGTATCGGCTTGTCATATGTACAGTGTGGTTTTCCTTCCCATTCAGAGTTTATACTTTTGTGAAATTACTGGGTAGAAGTGACTTTTGGAGGAAAAAGGCATGGCATAGCAGACAGAAAGGCTCACCCTGACAAGGATTGCTCTTCCTGAGGAGCTCCGCTGAGGCATGCACCAGAAAAGCAGGTCTGGATGACAGCAAGCATCAGTTTGCCATGTAAAGCAGTCACATTCATGTTTTGCCCCTAATCTTGTGGCCTGGGACAGGCAGAATAAAAGGTGGGCTATGTGTGGTTGGAGAACTGGAGCATAGGGGAGGAAAGCAGAGGAAAGGAGGGCAGCAGGGCAGGTTAATGTTAAATACAGTGTGCTAATTTGTGGTCAGACCCAACCAAGCTGTGGGTGCAAGTCTCGTGTCTGAGCCACTGTCTAGGGACCCCTCACTTGATGTCCTGCCGGTTGCTCGCCTGTGCACTCTGGCTCTGTAGTTGGGAAATGTTGCCAAAGTTCCCGCAGTTACACGATGATCCGTGAGTCTTTACGTAGTTTTTGTGCCCCTGAGAAATCTCTTTCTCCTGAGTTACACTGGGTTTGGCAACAGTCAGTCAGCGCTTTGAACTCTGACCCTGGCTGGGTCCTACAGGTGTCGTCAGAGGATCAGCAAAGGGTTTTGCAAGGGGATTTCAGCAAAAATCTTCTCCTGTGTAAACACAGCCGGACACGCCAGTATAGACAAAGTCCCACTGGTCACTTTTAAGCGGGAGTTTTGGAAAAATTAAAAGGAAGTTGAACAAGTGTTGGCTAATAAGCGAGGAAAAGTGATCCAAAGCACATGCTTGGTGGGGAGCTGAGTCAGCAGAGCTGAAAACTAACTCAGCCATCTCTGCTTCAGTAGTTTATGAATTTGCGCTGTGCTGTGACTGCACAGAGGACCAGCGCGTGGCTTTGGGATGCAGAAGCAATAGGACTGGGGCTGTAAAGCAGAGCAGGACTGAGCTGTGGCCATACGTGGACTTCCGTGGTTGGTTTGGGGAACCACACCACCAAAAATCTCTTGACAAGCTGTAGGGAACTGAGCCCAAAACAGCAAGAGTGGGGTGGGTGGAGGGGCAGCATCGCGACACGAAGTTTAAAAGTGCCCTGTTGGTTTGCTCCAGGTTTGGAAGGAACAAAAGCAAAGATTATAATTTTGTGAACACTCCAGTGGTGCAAATATGAGCGAGGGAAGGATTTCTTTTTCTGAAAGCCGAAATCCATGAAGCCCCCAAGCTCAAAAGCTCGTCCAGTGAGTTCCTGCTCGTTAGCCTGCTGTCATTTTTATCCTTCGTCCTGTAACAATTACCTGTATTGGCTGTTGGATTACCGAGCGGTTTTTTCTTGCCCCTACAAGCTCTGCGGGGCAGATAGGATATCTTGGCTCATCTCTTCGCCTGCAAGCGTTGTTTGCACTTACATAAAGAACATGATACCCCCATAGTGCAAGGTCTGTAATGTGCAATCTGCAGGAGGAGAAGAAACGTCCTTCTCGGTTCTAGGCTGTGGATAAAGGACTGCAAGCTCGTCAAGTTACTGATGCCTTTGTAAATAACGTTGTCTGGTTTTAATCCTATTATGTGTGCCTATTCTGCCTATTCTTTTTAATGGGGATGCAGTATATAAACTTCAGAAACTACAGGCGTGAAGAGATCTGTCCGATATTTCGTTTAAAAAAGGCAAAACCAGTTTGAAAAGATGGCGCTATCCAGCTGCTAGCGAAACGCATGGTGGAAAGATACTTTGGTGCTTGGGGGAGTCTCGGGTGGTTTCACAGTGTTGTCACCTGGGCAGTTAGGCCAGGCCTGAATGTTTGTCCCCTCCTGGCCAAAAGGATGGAGGAGAACGTCTGAGCGTTGCAAGGAGGAGGCCGCAGCCTGCAGCAGTTTATCCAATATGCACGCGCACTCCGCTTAAGAAAAGGGAAACTGAATTTATGCAATTCATATTCGGTAATTGAAAGAGAAGATGGTTTTCGCAGCTGCTTCTACACACATCGAATATGTAGGCAGGACAGCACCAGAGAGCAAAGCACCCTTCTGGCTCGTGTTACGGGTCCTATCGTGCTGCCAGCAGTCAGTGCTGCAGCTCTGTCCCCGAGAGGGGAGTGTCCCCGTGTGACTGACATCCCACAGTATTAATTTCTAAGCTCTCTAAAGATAAGGCATTGTCACATAATTTACCCAGCACGGTAGACTCTCAAAGGCAGAATGTGAAGAAGAATAACACGCTTTATAATATGCTGAGGAACAAATGTGGAAATGCTTTGCTGTTAAGGAGAAAGGTGGGGAAAAAAAAAAAAAAAAAAAGAATAAAGGACAAGGATGCGCCACTTTGGTGATCCACTGTGGCTCTTGGGCTGTCTGGCTGGGTCGGCCTGGGGTTCAGGTGGATGTTGTTGTGTTGGGAGAAGCAGGCAATATCTTCAGCAGTAGCCCCGCACATCTGGGCAAGAGGCAGCAGGAGTTCCTTGGGTGAAAAGGTGGGGGTCTTTCTGGCAAAGGGTGGGTGGGGTGTCCAAGCGGTGGCAGAGATGATGAGGGGCCTCTTTATGGGACAGCTGGAAGGGCAGATTGAGCTTGGCACTCTCTTAACTTCTTTCTTTTCATCTTTTTCTCGTTTCAGTTCTTCTTGAATCACTCAACAAGAATGAGCAATCAGCCAATGGTCAGTCCCAATCCAGGGAGTCCGCAAACCCTCAGTTCAAGAAAATGAGGGGAGAATTCCCGTCGGCCAACGGAGAGGCTGGTGGGGAGGCCCCCAAGGGCTACACTCAGGACCAGGTGGATGCGGTGAAGAGGTGTGTGCGCAGCTCCCCGTGGCTTCAGCCCGCAGTTGGTTTGAGTTTATTACGTGATACCGGTCTGTTTTTCACAGAATTGTAAAGATTTCAGCTTTGAAGCATACTGAGTGGGTTTTGACTGGCTGGGTGTTAAAAGCATACCTATGAGGATTTATAGCTACAGCAGCCCTGGGAGGCAGCTGGGTTGGGCCTACGAGGGATAAAATTTTCTCCCAAAGGCATGCACGAGGGCTAGAACTGTAGGCACGTAGGCCTCCCCCTGGCTGAGGTCCAAAGAGGCATTTTGGATGCATTCATCTCAGGGACTTCACATTCGTGTTTGCTTTAGTGTTATTCAGTAACGCTGTGAAAAATCCCATGTGCTCCTCGGATCCCGTAGGTGGAAGTCATGGCTCGTGGCTTGCGCAGGCAGCCCCACTGCTTCGAGCTTTGGTCTGGTAGCAAGTGGCAGGGCATAGCCTTCTTCCTCTCTCCTGATGATATTCTGCTCACGGTCTCTCTCAGAGCCCGACAAAGTAGAAACCCATCGCAGGGCACTTCACTCCATTAACATGATACACTTCTAAAGCTCCTGCTGGAAAGTCCCAGGACATGTTTATCCAGTCAACCGCTTTCCAAACCCTGTTTTCAAGTTGTTCTTTATTCCTTTCTACCGTGTACAAATACTGGAAGATGAAGGACTGAACTGCAGGCACAGTCACTTGGTAAACTTTGTTTAAGGTTATGGGCATGGTGTGAATTGTGCAAGAACAGCTCTGGCTACTGGACTATGTCATCCCTTTCTCCACAAACCCAGCCTGCTGTATTCTGTCTCCTCGAAGTCATGTGAGAAGGAGAAACCATCGCTGGGCTGTGAGTGTACCCAGAACGAACTGGGCTGCGCACACAGGCCTGGGCAGCTCCCTCTTTCTTCCTCTAGAATTCAGCTGATGTTATTTTTAGGTCTGCAAATTAATTGAATCTGTGGAGAGGCAGGGGGGAAGAGCCAGTAGCTCGGCTATCTTTCAGATCCTGGCCTGCCGTTTGTAGTCCCTCCCAAAGAGCTTCCAAAACGTGAGCGTGATGAATTTGAAGCTTGTTTGCCACTCACATTCCTTTGCGGGTGATATCATTGCCTGAGGAGAGGCCCTTCTACCTCTACTGGCTTGACTTGTTCGGTGAGAGTGTTTGTGTGCTAGTAACGCAGGCACAGCGGGAACGGGTCTGTGACAAAAATTGGGTCACCCGCTGAGGAGTTAGAGCTGAGTAAACCAGAGTTCACTGAACAACAGGGATCGAAACTGTGATGCGTGAGATGTTGCAGAGCTGACATAAGCAATGCAAAGTGGTTTTCACAGCTGAAACTAACTGCCCGTGGTTTCTCCCCTCTCTACTGGCAGGGTAAAGCAATGCAAAGATTACTATGAAATTCTGGGAGTAAACAGAGAAGCTTCTGATGAGGACCTGAAAAAGGCTTACCGGAAACTTGCACTGAAGTTTCACCCAGATAAGAACCACGCACCAGGGGCTACAGAGGCATTTAAAGGTAAAGAACATTTCCAACTTTGTGATTTGCCCTCAACTATCAAGCGGTGGGGCTAGCAAGGACTCTTAAAAACAATCTCACGAGTCAGGTAGAGTGAACTAAAGCTCCTCTTTGTAAAGTTGTCTCTCTTCTGAGCTGGTTGTATTATGAGCAAAGTATAAGCTTAAAATAATAAACAGAGCTTGGCACAGGTAGGATTCACCTCTGCTAGTCAGACAAGGAGAAGCTTTCCTTCCCTTTCTCCTAGCAGCCCTTCCTGCGTGTTGCTCCAGCCTCCTGCCACGCTGCTCAGGAGGAAATTCCCTCGGGATGTTAACCATCCTCTTTTCTGGAGAAATGCAGGAGCATTCACCTAGCAGGGAGGAGCTCCAAGTCCTGCAGCCATCCAGCATGAGGCAGGTGCTGGGGTGCACCTCCGTCTACTGACAAATCCATTAGAGACCCAGTAAGTTGTGTAGCACCAGGGGCAGCCATTGGGTTCACGAATCCCTCGAGAGGAACATTGCTGGGCACGCCAAATGGCAGGAAACTCATCTTCTTCAGAACTGGTATTTAGACTCTTCTACCCATTGAGCATTTTCAGGCAGCCAGTAGGCCCTCAGGTTTGTAAGCAAGCACTCAGCACCTGACCATTGCGAAAAGCTGCGGGTGGAATTGGTGGGTAGAAACCCCGGGTGAAAATTTCTAGGGCAGAACTGAGCCAGCAGTACAACTGAACCCAGCCAGGCCTCAAAAAAGGTCACCAGGAAATTCAGTTCTGCTTCAAAGAGCACAATGCTCAGGGCCTCTCTACAAAGGGGTAGAAGATACCTTATAACTGGAGTAATTTTCCAAGAGAAGTGCTACTGCTTGGAACATGTAACCCCATTTTTCCTTGCAAGCTGCCTAAGTTTGATTTATCGTCGTTGAGCTAAATGCAGAACGTCTCGATGCCGATTGTACAGCACTGCTTTTGTAGTGCTGAGCCATTTAAATAGTGTGGTCTGACTCTGGCCATCTTGGGAGAGAAATGCCTGAGGCTCCTGCTGGAGCAGAGAGCAGGGCTAGCCTGGTGCGTGTATATTGATGCAGTATTCAGGTAAGCTTCTAGTAGACATGAATTCAGCAGTAAAAGTCTTATGTAAGGTTTGTTCAAGTCTCTTAAGACTTATATCTATAAGAGATAAGTGTGTTGCTGTTAGCAAATAATGAGCTGACCCCCAGCTACTTGGGAGGGCCTATCTTAGTAGGGGGGCCAGATTAAAGAGTGAGCGTCTGCAGACGTCTATCTACGCCACATCTGCAGCAAGCCGCTGTTCAATCCTTGCTAAGTGGCGAAAGGCAGGTTTCTTCACTTGTAATCCTAAATAATGATATTTGCTGAGGGCTTTGACAGGAGTTACGTGCCAGAAGTCGTGCGTTAAGCAAGGTGCCCTTTATCCTCCACTGCAGAGCTATCTGCTCTCGGGTTATCTCTCCTCCTAGCCTTGCCTCCTTGGCTCCCCCATCCCTCAGCCCCCGAGCTCAGCTCCTAGTTTGCAGGGCTCGCTGAAGTCCAGCTGTTTGGATCCAGAGGGTGAAACGTGCACTGCTTATGAGGATTTTAGTTAATTTTTTCTTACATGGATATATGAGCTGGAGTCTGGGCTTTCATCTTCCCAGTGACAGCTGATAAAGCATTAGGTCTTGTCCTGAGACCTTGTCTCGGTCCATAGTTGCAGTTGGCTGCAGTTTGTCTTGTGGCAGATTTGCATCACTACCTTTGGCTGACATTGGAAAAAAAGGGTTGAACCTGGCTACTTTGAGCTAAAACCCTGATTTGGGATGAGGTGTTTCTTGGGCTTTGTCAGCAGAAAGTCAGACAATGAACAGAACCCTGAAGCACTCTATTTTCGTTGCCTAACTGCACAGTTTGAAAGAGCAAGCTAATATCCTGAGAGTCAGTCCCTGTCGTCCAGCTTCCTTGCTTGGTTGTAGAAATGTTTGCTCTGCGTGCACTTACTATAACCAAGAAGGAAACAAGTGTACTGACATGACATGCTCCACACTCCGAATCTCCAGTCCAAGAAGAAACGGTGTGCCTCGATCCGACTGCGGGGAAAATGTTAAATCTCGGAGTTAATCTCCTCCAAAGGGCGTTTATCTCCCTTGTTTATCACTTCTGCCCCTGCCTTCTATACACCAGTCTACTGCCATGAATATTTTTGCCTCCTTGCAACACAGGGAGGAGAGAGGGTAGGCTCTGCAGTCACGCAGGGAGGCTCTTGGGTCCGTTGGCACAAAGGGGAAGTGGTAAGCTGGAACTTGTTGAGAGAGAAGTACAGAATTAGGAGGGTGGCAGGCAGACGTTCTGCTAGAAAGGCTCAAACGTGCTGAGCTTGGAAAGAGAGGGATGTGAGGAACTGGCAAGGGTGTAGTTCCAGTACATTTCCACCGTCACAGGCACTGGTTAACAGTCCTTGTAATTATGCACCTTACTTCTGGCATCTGGAAATTTTGAAATTCATAGCTGACAGACACGACTTCCAGCCAAAGTTTCCTTACTAGCTGTTACGGGAGGCTTTGAGGTCTCTTTCAGTGATCTAGCCTGTATTTAAATTCTCAGCAGTTCTGATTTTAGGCTATGATATTGAATTACCTCAGTAATTCAATATCATAGCCTAAAATTTGTCAAATCGTATTTTCCTATACAGCTGCTTACGGCTGAAGGATTTGAGCATTAGTTATTCAAAGGAATAACAAGTTTAATTAAGCGAAACACGTAGCTGCTCTACGACCAGCATTTCCTTCTCAATTCATAGTTTCATACATCTGAGAGGGTTTCTCTAGGGACATACACTGAATTCATACCAGTCATATCACAGCTTCTTCATTTGAATTAATTAAGGCCTTTTCCATTGAGCCTCTTGGTGTGGTTTCCTTCTGTCTGTGTTTGCCAGAGAGACGTGCCAGGTACCAGTGCTGCGCCGCTGAAGTAGCCTGTTGAAAAGACACGGGTAGTCGAGAACCTCTTTTGTGTAATGAGAAAGGCAAGTCCTGGCAGTTTGCAGGGCTTAAATGTATTATCCGTAGAAGAAAGGAGCTAATCGCTTCCGTATTGTCCATATTTCAGCCATTGGTAATGCGTATGCAGTATTGAGCAACCCAGAGAAGAGGAAGCAATATGACCAATTTGGAGATGAGAAACTCAACCCTGCTCGGCACGGACACAGTCACTCGGACTTCCACCGTGGGTTCGAGGCAGACATCTCCCCTGAGGACCTCTTCAACATGTTTTTTGGTGGTGGCTTTCCTTCTAGTAAGCACGTTAAACTTAATTTCTTGAATGGGACCCGATACTTTTGACAGGGCATCAGTGCAGTAGCGATTTATTTGGCCGTGAAAGGATTGCTGAGTTTGATGAGAGAGAGTTGTCCTTCACACATGACCTAAACACCTAGAGTTTTCTAAGTTGTTCAGATGGGCACTTGGAGAGCTCGGCATCCAGCAGGTAATGCCATCAGAGCTGCACTTCTTCCCAACTTCAGGTATTTGTTTGTGTGCTGACAATGTTGGCCGTTATTGGGTTGGCTTGAACGTTAGAAGAAGAAATGACTCGTTTTAAGGCTAGCTGTAAAAAGAATCCTATTTTGAAGACGACTTTTCTGCCTGGTGGTTTTAAAAGTTAAATCTTCTCATCAGAACAAACTGTGGTAATGCCTGGGCCTTGTTCTTGATCTGTATCTGCTCTGCCACACAGCTGAAGCGGTTTCTCTGAGACCAGTGTCCACTTCCTTCTTTCCATTGTGTCCCATAAAAAAGAAGAAGGTGTTCTTTCCAGAGGATAATTTACACCTCTTGAATTGACAGGATACAGATTTAATCTTCTGTCCACAGCGCTGATCATGGTTTGGGTAGCAGGGAAGAACAGAGTGACTGTTCCTTCACTTGATCAGTTCCAATCAAAAAGACACAGATTTAATACCAGGATAAGAGTATTTTAGAAGTCTCCCTCGTATTTGCTCTAGTCGTATTTGGCTGACAGTGGAGGCAGTGGTTATTTGACCTCTGTGGACCAACTTGGAAAAATAAATATTTTTGTTTCAATGGAGAAGATTTACTCTGGTAGCTCTTTCCTGTCTGATATGTAAGAATTAACACAGTAACGTCAAGTACTTGCAAAGGCATCTTGAAGCCCTTTGCAGCATTCATGTTCTGCCTGTCAGAGAGGTAAAGCTGCTCCAGTAAAAACAGCAGGTTGCTATTTTAGCTCACTCTTTTTTTCCTTTCCCCACTGTCCCAAGAGAATTCAGGACTGCCTTCTCAGCCAGTCTCCCTTTTCAGCTGTAGTTTTGACATTTAAAAGAACGCATGGAAGAGCTCTGTTTTTAGGGTGGAAAAACTACCAAAATGATTTATTTTTGTAATTGGTTTTAAGCTAAAGGAAATTCAATTAGAAGCGAGGAGGCCTGTATAAGGTATTCTCTCTACATAGCTGACCCTGCTTTCAGCAGGAGGTTGGACCTCCTGGGGTCACTTCCAAACTGAATTTTCATATGATCCTACAAAATGCTGTAGACGGATCTCAGTGCCCGCCACCAGTTCTCCTTCGGGCATATCTGCTCAGTACACCTTAGGAATACTCCTTTTTCAGCTGCAACTTATATAGCTCGTTTTGTAAACGTTGGCTTCAGGTAACGAATAGAATTTTTTTGTATGAATTCTTCAATCAGTCTCCTGTGGTGTCCCCTACCCACTGCGCCCTAAAGCTACAGCCAGCTCTGTCAGGACAGCGTGATGGAGTGGCTGGAGCCCGGGGCTTCGGCCCTGTGGTCCGCTGGCCAAAACCATGGACGTGCACCCTGTGCACTGGGACACGTGCAGGGGTCTCGGGCATAGCCCAAGTCTGCCAAATCACCGTTTCACTGGGACATCCCAGCTCCGGCCTTGGAGCAGCCCCGCCAAGCAGATGTGCTGTCCTCCCCCCAGCTCTGAACTGGCTGCTGTGCTGCTGGCTGCGTGAGAGCGGTGGGAACGGCAGGCCAGAACGACATGTGAGCACAGGGTGGTTTCCCTTACAATCTCTACGTCCTCGTATCTTTGCTGAGTGTGGCCCAAACCAAAGGAACAGATCAAGCCCATTCTGGGTTTAAAATTCCTGAATTTCCTGTTATTTGTTATCACACGGTCTACATTTTTCTGTGGTGTTTTTATCGGTGAGGCTGACGTGGAGCATGGCCACCTTCTCTGTTTCCTCCTGGCCAGCCAGCACCATCTGACCTGCTCTGACTTTTGTGTAACAGGTTTTTTTTTGCCTGTAGGTAACGTTCACGTATACAGCAATGGCAGGATGCGATATACCTACCATCAGAGGCAGGACAGACGAGAACATCAGGGTGACGTAAGTGGAGAACAGGCAGGGGGCTGGGAGTCTAAAGGTTTTTCTGGTACGTGAATTGCAAGCTAGTTGGTGTGGCGGTCTTGTGAAACAGTCCTGCTTGTTTCCACCTCCCTGAACAGAAAGCTGGAGTCGTGGGAAGTGAGCTGCCCTCAGAATTTACACCAAGTCGCTGTTTAATTTACTGGTGGTTGTTCTCCCGGGACTCTCATAGCTGTCATCCAGTGGGGAAAATGCTGGTCTGTCTTGAAACAGTGCCGCCTTGAAATAAGACTGCACCAGTAAAGTGTACTTGTCTTTACCACAGAATAAACGTTTCTTTTATGATTTAATTCTGTAATTTTAAAAGGTAAATCCGCTTTTCAGATAATACGGATACCTGTGGCTCCTCCCAACATGAACTCATTCTCCCTTTTATTCCAGTATTGAAGATGGGGTGGTTTTAATCTGTGATGCTTAAGTAACCAAGGAAGGGACTTTATAGCACGAGCCATTTTTTTGCTTTCCCATCACAGAAAATCTAAGTGTATTTCCAGCACTCCAAGCCCTCTGGTCTAGGGAAGTGAGAATGAGGGAGTTACTGTTTAAGAGACCAGGGTTATGTATTGAAGATTACTATTTTCTGGGGATAGCCAATTATATTTTTTTTTAAACAAACAAACAAGAACTTCCTGAATATTTTTTCTCAAGCTTAAAGGGGAAAGTGTATCCTGCTGGAGCTGGAGGGAGCTTAGGGGGTGAAGTAGAGGGGGAATTACTTTCATCTGACGCCGAAGAGGGGAGAAGGCTTTCCGTAAAACCAGTTCTGCTCACTAGCACAAGCAGGACAGAAACCACATATGCTCTAGAAAAAACAGAATAAGGGCACAAGGCTTTTGAAATTTACCCCCAGGGTTCCCCCCTGTCAGTCCCCTCTGCCCTTTGTCACATCTGGAGAAGGGGCAGCGGGTTTGGACCTTTGGAGTCACACTGCCTTTTCTGGAGGGGAACTGGGGGCTGGGATTCCCCCCAGTTACTCAGGGGTGCCTCCTGAGCCAGATGCCTGCAAAAAGCAGGAGAACTGAGGTTGTGTTAGGGCTGGGAGGGAGAGGGGTGCTGTGGGATCCTCGCATACAAATATATGGGTGCCACTCCACTGTGTGTTTCTGTTCCTTCAGGGTGGCCTTGGGTTGTTTGTCCAGCTGATGCCTATCCTCATCCTGATCATCGTGTCTGCCCTCAGCCAGATGATGGTCTCCAGCCCACCCTACAGTTTGAGCCAGAGGCCGTTAGTACCCGTTACTCTAAAATTTATCCATCTGGGGAGAGGGGTTGGGTTCTGCAGGGCAGGGTGGCATGATGGGTAGGAATCTAGGCTCTCTGGTTTTCCTGTCTTTTTGGGTTGGTTTATTTTTTTTTTAATTCATTATTACACCATTGCTTTTGCTGCCAGATGTCTTGCAGATCAGCGAAGGCCTCCTGCTTCTCAAACAGGTCTCAGGATGGAAGGTGTGGGAAAGGTTGGAGGGTGCTCGCTTGCCTAAAGGAGGATGTTCTTTGACAGGGACTTTCTGCAGCCCATACCCATAGCTGAGGGTGTCTGTCCTAGAAAGGGACAGGCAAAATGACTTTGAGAGGCTGTGGCCCAGCACTAAGATCCCATGTGCAGAATGAATTGAGATGTAGAGTTAAACTGGGGTGTGAAAAACAAGAGCCAGATCTGCTCTTTGTGAAAGCCTCAGTTTATGCCTGCTACAAAGCAGTAGAGGAAGAGAGAAAGGAATGAAAGACACTCCCAGAGAAATCCCCTACTTTTGAACTCCAGTCTTGCCATGAGGTAGCTATGGCCAGACGTTTACTACGCAAAATCAAAGCTGTTTCGTTCTAGATCCTGTGGAAATGCCCTGGGCTGCTGCCTTGGCTGGCAAATGAAATGAGTCTGTTCTTTACGCACTTTGCAGTGCCAACAAAGAGTGAGAAAACGGGCTTGATTTCTGGCTGCTTGCATCATTCTTGACAAAAGCTTAGTGTATTTTCTGTGGATGTTCCTTAGGTGTATTTAAAGAGGGTAGACTTGGTTACAGGCAGCGTGCACTGTTTAGTTTCACAGATGACAGCGTTTGCGACTGATGATGTTAAATACTATAAAACCCAGCCTAGCTGTTGGGTCCAAGGTGAAGACTACGATGTTAGTGCTTGGTTTTGAAGAGGGCACAGTTAAGCGTTATTCGGAGACGCTAAAGAGTAGGGATGTGATTTCTGCAGTTGATATCAGGACTGTAAAGTCAAGCGTTACATATGTGCCCCAGTGTGTTTTATACTGGTAAAGAGGTGGTTTGTGGGGCGCCAAGACGTTCAGCGGAGGGCAGCTTGTAAGTCGGCAGGGATCTGTTTCCAGCCTCGTCAGCTGTCAGAGGAAAGCCACCCCCCAGCCCCGGGTGTTTCTCTGCCGCTCGAATCCCCGATCCCCGTGCTGCCCCTGTCTCTGCCTGCTCAGGTAGCAGGCAAGCAAACCCAGTTTGAATTTCCCAGTTTGAATTCGGACGAGAGCGGCGAATGAGCTGACCCCCAGCCCTCGGTCAGCCCTTCGGAGTGAGCGGGGCACCTCAGCTGAGCTGATCAACGGGAGCAAAAGGCGAGCTGTGCCTGCAGGCGGTGCTGCTGGCTCGCTGGTGCGGGCAGCCAGGCCCCTTTTTACTGCCTGGTGTGGAGGGGCTTGGCTGGCGCCCAGCGGAAACCCGGGGCTTGCCGCGCTGAACTCGGCGAGCAGGAGGCGAGAAGCTTTGGAACCTGGTGAGGTGTCAGTGGCACAGGGAGATTTTAATGCCACTTCCTGATAGCGAAGCTATCGCTGCGAGAGGTAGAGCACCATTTGTCACTCCGCTACCTTTGTAAATCTGTTCCAAAAACCAGCTTTCTGCTGAAAGGCCTGTCTGGCTGCGGGCCTGACTGTGCCACCCTGCTTTGCAATAAGACCTCATGGAATTTGCCCGACTTAATGGCACGTCTCACTTCAGGTGGCAGGTTTCTCGCACCAGGTCCAGCCCTCATTTTCATGCTTTACACTCAAGCGTGCTGCTGGAGCTCTGTGAGCTCAAATACTCCTCCTTTGAGAGCACGCTTTGTAGCCTCTGTAGTTCATCTTTACGCAGAAGAGGAATATGAACTTTGGGAGAGCTTAGGGCTCTGTCTCGACAGGTAAAATAGTGAGCCGAGCTTCTTCCAGACTGCATTTCTGCCAGCAGGCACTGCTGGAGACGCGTTAGCTTTTCTCTCAGAAAATGCCAAGAGAGCTTTTTGGTTGTGTTCGGTCTATCCGGTTACCCACCGCTCGTCCCGGAGTGCTGGACCTTGATGAAACGTGCAGGAGTCTTTGAATCACTCCTGTAAACCCTGATAAGAGACTGAAGGGCGAGCCGGGTGAGTTAATGTTTATACCTGGCTTAAGAATCAGGCTCACTTTTAATGCAGCAGCCAGCTGGTATTTATTAGGGGGAACTCTGGGCACGTCTCCAGGTGGAGCTGTTCCTGACGAACGCAGCGTTTGGGCACAGGTCCTGTGTTAGAGCCTGCAAACATGCCCCGGTGCGTAACTCCGGGTTTGCCAGAGTGCTGGGGAAAATAAGTACACCGCTTTTTCTGAAATGCAAATCCACGGGGGTAGGGTGAGAAGTTCCCTTCTAGGAAGTGCTTGCTGTACTAGTTGGCGCAGGCTCCGGGGCAGAGCGGGTCTGATTTTGTCCTTGCAGCACCAGCGTTGGTCACAGCACGTGACGTGGGAGAGGAAGCTGACGCTCTTGGGGTTAGCGGATCTCTTGGCAGAGGGGACCGGGTTCGACCGAGGGGCAGCCTGGCCGGGCGAGGGGGGGGTGGCCCGGGCTCTGCCCTCCCCTCGGTGCTGCCGTGCTCCTCTGCGCAGGCACTCTTCTGCCTTGCTGCCTGCTCTCGCCCCGCGGGCACCGGCCTCCGAGCTTTGTAACCATCCTTGGGGCTCACTGCCAAAAGCAGATGACGGTGTCGTCAGCAAGGAAATTGCAGAGAGATTTAATTAGTGCTGAAAATTCTAATGAACACTTTATTTTAAGCGGGTTTAGGCCTTGGGCAGTCTGCCTCAGAGTTATGTCTGTATTCAGAGTTCTGCCCACCTAACTAGAGGCCTGGCAGGTTTTCTCTCCCTGTGCTGGCGTTTCATTTCCACCAGAAACGCTTCTCCATTCCAAACCTTCGAGTCTGTGGGTGCTTAGGAGCGACGTGCGTTCTCAGCGGTTCGCTGTCGTGTGGCACGCTGTGCATTACAAAGGGCTGGGAGGATTTTGCTGTGCCCTTGGAGCGTGTCCTACACCACCGTTCTGCCTCTTCTCTCTGAACTAGGTCTGTGGGTCACATACACAGGAGAGTGACAGAGCACTTGAAAGTCAGCTACTACGTGTCTGAGAACTTTGCAGACGAATACACGGGCACAAACCTGAAAAACGTTGAAAGGAGCGTGGAGGACGACTACATTGCAAACCTTCGAAATAACTGCTGGAAAGAGAAGCAGCAGAGTGAGTAGTGGGGAGTCAGGAGCCGGGGGTCTTGGCTGCTGCACAGGGTGGGCTTTGGAAAGGTCTTTAACTGGGAGCTGAGTTATGCTAAAGTTATACTTTAGCACGGTGCGAGCACATTTCCTGCATTGTTGGCTTGTTTTTTTCCTACCGGTGACTTTGTGACAAATCCAGTGTGGGGTTTTGTTTTTTTTTGTTTTGTTTTGTTTTGTTCTGGTTTGGTTTTTTAATGCTGCTGTAGAACTGGTCAGACAGGAGTTGTGCCCCAGAGGTTCCACTGCCCTGTCAGTAGGATATCTCTGATTTCCAGCGAAGGGGAAAGGTTGCACCCATCTGCTTTTCAGGGGGCCACCGCTAGCTCTCTGTAATATCTTAGTTATTCGGGGGCCGTGTCTGAAAGCCTGCTGCCTGTGGTGTCCTCCGTGAGACGCAGAGGCGGGCCCTGCCGTGTTCCTGAGGCTCTCTCTGGGATGCACGAGCTGTCAGCAGACGTTACACCCATCCTGTCCTCCTAAAGGGCATTTCCTCAGCCTCATCCTGTGCTTCATCTCGCCTCGAAGGACTGGGGGTGCTCAAAAGCCCGTGGTGGGACGCGGCCCGGCGGGTGGGTCTCCTTCCAGGTCGCGTTCGTAACGCCGAGCTTTTCCCTTTGCAGAGGAAGGCTTGTTGTACCGGGCACGCTACTTCGGAGACTCAGATCTGTACCAGCGAGCACAGAAGATGGGCACCCCCAGCTGTAGCAGACTGTCAGATGTTCAAGCCTCTCTGCACGGATAGTCACCGCCTGCCCGCTCAGCAGAGGTCTAAGTACGAGCCGGTGACACTTCCCCCGGCAGCAGAGTGGGGCACGATAGTGCTTGTCATACTTAAATCCCTCTTGGCGACACAGATCTTCACGACTCTCCTCTGGATGCACACACGTCACGGGGGGGGGGGGGGGGGTACACACACGCCCCGCCCCGCCTCCGTCAAGCGTACCACTCGTTAAATCGGGAGATTGCTTTTGTTTGGTTTGCACGTCGGCACCCTTGGCTCTCTGCAGGCTCGCTGTTTTCTCGGGCACTGCGCGTGCCCGGGTCTCTAGGAACAGAGCAAAAGCCCCCCGGGCCCGTTGGCCACCCAGCTGAGGTCCCGTTCAGCTGCGCGCTCGCTGCGGCGGCCGTGCGCACCGCGGCTGGTGGGGAGGGTGTTACCGGCCGGGGCAGCCAGCCGCCACGTTCTAATGAACCTGGGTTTGGTTTGCTTTATTGTCTGTTGGACTGAAAAAGCTCTTACCCCCTGGCACCTGAAGCGATCTGGTGACGGGGAACGGACTCCCACCAAACAGGTGTTCCTTCCCCCACCCCACCCCTCGCCCCGTTGCCTCCCATCACACTCCAGGAGAGCGAAGCGAATGGCCGGAGTTCACAGCAGGCTGTAGAAGCAACTTAGTGCATGAAACTGGGAATCAAAAGTAAAAACAGCTGAGGGGGAGTCCGGAAGACTTGGGGGTCGGAGAGCTTGAGTTAAAGCGAGCTCAGCTAGCGTGCGTGAGGCCGGGTGTGCTGCGACACGGGAGAGCGGCACGAAAATAACGCAAAAAAAAAAAAATTGGCAAAGAGTTTGGAGTCCTTTTTCTGCTTAATTATCCGGGCTGATTTCACATACCAGATACTGCTGGGATGGCTGCAAAACAGACCGGTCCCTTCTACCACAAAATTATTCGAAAACAGGGTTTCTATAGAAAATCTATTTCTGAAGGTGGAGCTTGCACCAAGCGTTAGTTGTATGGGCACCACTTAGGCTTGCAGAGACTTCTCGGGGGCGTTGGACATCTAGCTGCTTGATTTGTAGACACAAGTGAGGAGGTTTAGCGGGGAAGTTTTTGTGTGGTTTTTATTTTCCTTGCCATGGGGAGGGCATCTGAAATTTTGGCCTTTAAAGCAAATCCTTTGGGTCGCGTTCGGCCTTTTTTTTTGGGGGGGGGGTGTATCCCGTTTTTGGAACCATTCTTGCCTTGATACACCCACTCTCTTCATTTGATAACTGCGCCTCTTCTTTCACCGTAGACCGGCATTAATTGCCTGCTTTTCTTTAATTCCTTCTCTGTACCCGGGGCCTGAAAAGAGAGCTGCTCTTAGGCAGAGAGCCCGCTGCGGATTGAAAGAGTGCAACTGAAAAAGCTGCTGCCTGTAATGGGGGGAGGTGGGAAAAGGGGGAGGGACGGTGACGTGGGATTGTCTGGAGACTGACACCGCTGCCGCTTTTGTTCCCAGACCCTTGAAATGCCTGAAGACTCTTGGTGAAGCGCGCTGAGCTGAGGTGACAGACTTGCTATTTAAACGAATCAAACCTTCTCTTAAAAACGGATTTGGAGAATTAGCAACGCACAACTGCCCTCTTTCTTCTCTCTGTCTGCCTCCGCCGTTCGACCCACATCCCGGGCAGCGAGTAGGACAGGAAATCGTTCTCCTCCCTCCCTCCCTCCCTCCCTCCCGACACCGGCAGCGTGCGACAGTCTCGTTGCTCCTGGGATCCCACAACCCCGAGAACAGACGCGTAGAGTGTAGAATAACACAAACTAACGGCAGAAGTCGTGAAGCAGAAGGAGACCCTTTGTGACCACGCTGGTCACTGCTGACGGAGAGAGAAATTGGACGATTTGGCGATAAAAGAAAACTTTAAAACAAAAAAAAAGAAAATATAATCTATTTAGAATTAATTTATAGCTGTATATATGTTGTACTTTTAAACTATGCAGGGGTTGGATGATTAAATTATTTTGTTTTCTGCCCGGTTTGTTAAACAGGGAAGCGGGAAGGTTCTTCCCAGGGTGTCTCGCTCTGCAGCGCTTTCCTGCCTGGCACACTAGAACAAGAATCACTTTGCAGTTACGATGTTTTGCTTTCTGGAGGACAGCGGCGTCCTGCGGCTAGGGATGTAGGTACCTGCCTTTTAGGTTTTCAGAAAAGAAATTCCAAATCCTTAGAGGGTAACAAAGAAATGGGGGAAACTGCCCAGATTTGTGGTGTGGTTCTGCAGCGTTGGCAGAAGCCGCAGCGGGTCAGCTGAGCCCCGACGTTGCGCTGGGTGATGGGAAGGATTGTCCTGGATGGTTTTTGCTCGTCAGTCGTTGGGTTTAGTTGTGCACGTAACTTCTTTTTTTGCAGAGTCTGCTTTAATTTTGCCTCGTAATCAGCGTGTGGCGTTCGTTCTGTACAGAGGGCTTTCCCACGAGCCGTCTCCCTTTGTTGGTTTTTTTTTTTGTGTGTGTCCTCCACTTGGGGTTCCTCACCCACCAGCACTCCCGTTCGCAGCGTGGCCGTGGCCTTGACACCCTATCTCTAAGCGTTTCCTAGAGACTTGTAAAATACTGCTAATTCATAAGAAACGGAGCTTTCTATTGCTTCTGTTGAAAGAAGTTTGGCCGGGGGAGATTGGAGGGTGCGCTTGATCTCTCCTCAGACCCCGCCCGAGCTCTGCAGCGCGCCCCTCCCTCGATCGCCGGCGCGCAGGACCGGTGGTGGGAGGGTGCCCGAGGTTAGGAGCCAGCTCTTCGAAGCAAAGCCAGCACGAGCAGAGCTACCTTCTGTGGAATAAACTGGATTTTTTTTTTTATTATTTTTTTTTAATTTTCCTGTTGCTCTGCAGTTCGCTTTTGTCTAAAGACATTTCTAGTGAGAACCGTCCCCCCCCACACACTCAGGGGAATGAATCAAAAGCGCGGTGGCTCCTGGGTGGGGTGGCAGGGGCTGGAAGAGGTGAGAAGTAAGCTGGTTTTATTCCTTTTCTCATTAGGAGTCCACGTGCTCTGTCCTCGGCTGTTTATTTATTTTGCAAAATAGTAGCCCTCCCATTAACAGCGAGCCTTATCCCGCAGCCACCATGACTTGGACCTGATTTTAAGGGGCTTTTTTTTTTTTTTTTTTTTTTTTAAATAAAATAAAATAAAGATTCCTCTGCTTCTGGAAGGAATTGGATGGAAATACAGCATTTGGAAATAGCTCTTAATAGAGGCCCGGGCTAGCCAGCACGAAGAGATCACGGGGAGGGGGTACACGTTTGCAGCAGGTGCTGAACGTCTTGCACAACGGCGGCGTTCCTCGCCCAGAGCCTGCCCGCCAAAACCTTTTACTTTTTTTTTTTTTTTTTTTTGAGTAGTTACCCGTGGTTAATAACGAGCGAGAAGGCGTAGATCCTAACGGCTGCTCACAGAGGCTGTATCTCTCGATTTAGAATTAATTATACAATTGTACATCTATAAATAAATGTTTATAACGTGGACGGCTCCGGCTGTGTTGGCGCCCCGCAGATCCGTCACCTCTGGTTTTACAGCTCCTCCCTTCACACCGCCCTCGTGGCGTCCACGCGAGGCGCTCGGTGGATGGAATTTGGTGCCTGTGCCAGCCAGCCCGGCGCTCCCGGCGCGGGAGAGGGCAGGACGAGGACGGGACGGAGAGGCGGCGGTGCTCCCGGAGTTAGCCAGGTGACCGTTCCCCGGCCCCGGGAGGCGTTTGCTTCAAACTGGGTCCTGCTCCCAGCGGGATGCCTCATGCTTTTGGGGGGGTGGGGGGGGGGGGGGGGTGGCATTTGAAGCCGTTAGCCGGGTCTCTGGCGTCCCCTGGCCGAGCGCTTTTGGGGGATGCTTTATTCTCACCATCCCAGCAGCATTCTCCCAGCATTTTCGGGGTCCCGGGCTGGGCAGGAAGGCTCGGGCTGCCTTTGTCCTGAGCAGAAACGCCAGCTCAGACCTGCTTCCCCACGGCAGCAGCTCAGAAACCACCGGCTCTTGGCCCAAAACTGAAGCGGGGGGGGGGTGTGGGGGGGTACCACCCGCCTCCAGGGTTGGATTTGGGGTCCGGTGCTCCCAAACGAGTCTTTTTTTTTTTTTTTTTTTTCCCCAAATTTCCCCCTCCTTGGGGCAGCAAAAGGCTTTTCCTGCAGCACCCGGCGCAGGCTTGACCCCGCCACCCTTCCCCTCCCCAGCCCCACGCACCGAAGGGTTGGAGGTTTGGGAGGGGGTTCGGGTTTTTTTCCCCCTTTTCCTTCTTTTTTCTTTCCCCCCTCCCTCAAAAGCCAAGGGTCACATCACTTCCATTTCCCCTCAGCGCTGCGTTCCGGGCAGCGGCGGTGAGTCAGCCCCGCCGGCCTCTCGCAATACCGGCACCGGCACGCCGCCCGGGAGAGCCCGGCATGAACCAACACCCCCCCCCGGTGCCACCACCACCAACCCCGCTCCCTTTTTTTAAAATTCCGCAGTCGGGTGCATCCACACCTCATTTTTTTGGGGTGGTTTTGCCACAGTTTGGGTCGTTCCTAGCCCCGAGCTGTGGGAGAATTGATGGTCTGCGTTTTGGTCCCTGCCTGCTCATCAAAGGTGCGGTCAGTTCGGGCTCCCCATTAGCTCCTTCCCCACCCAGCAGCTCATTAACCCAAGCTTTTAATTGAGGCAGCAGCCAGAGGAAAGGAGCCAGCAGGTGAAGGCAGGTGCCCCACAAGCATCCTCCAGGTAGGTAGCGAAGGGAACCCCGCTTCTCTCCACGATCGTTTTTGGCAGCAAAACCTGAGGGTTTAGGCACCACCCCTGGGATTTCAAGCCTCCTTTGCCTTCTTCCTGCTGAAGCCCCCAAAATCTCCCTTTCCCCGCCACCAGGATGGCCCCCGGGGAGCCCCAGGGTCGATGCAGATGCCGCAAATAGCCCCACTGCCGCCTCCCGGGTCCCAAAATACAGCTCTGCCCGCCCCCCTGCCCCGGGAGAGGCTCAACGCAGCCTCCGTGGAAGCTCCTGGCACCTTCCAGAGAGCTGCCAAACCCCGGGGACCTTGATGTGCCCCCCCCCCCCCCCCCCGCCCCAGATTTGTCATGGAAAGGCCGTTTGACTATAAATAGAAGCAGCGCTTCACCTGCCATCGCTGGGGGCTGGGGCCACGACCGTGGGGCGTTTTGGGGGCCGCGCAACCCGCGCGGAGGGTTTTGCTGGGCAGCCCCCCCAACAAAGAGGCCGGCCTCTTTTGGGGTTTTTTTTTTTTTTGGTTTGTTTTCTTGACGGTTCCCGGCAAAGTCTTGATTATTCCTTTGGATCACTATTTTTTTCAGAAATGTGCCACGGAGTCCCTCGCCCACCCTCGGGGAGGCTTGGGGGGGGGGGGGGGGGACGACGAGCCGGGGGCCACGCCGCTGCTGGCAGCGCGGCGAGACACGGAGTGATCCCTTCCACGTGCTTAGGAGCACGATATATAAAAATACATGTATTTGTGGCGCTGTATATATATATAGCTTCAAAATATGCCTGGGCAGGGGATGACAGCACGGCCCGAGCCGAGCCGCCAGTGTTGCTGCCGTCACCGCGCCGTAAATCTCTCACCACAGCTGCGGAGCAACGCGCTGTTTCCGCCCCGGTGGTGCCAAAACCTGCTCCTCTGGTGATTTTTGCCAAAAAACTTCGGGTTTGGAGTTTCCCTTCCAGTCCCCTCAGTGAGTCCTGGGATGGTTTTGCTGCTGGACAAGCCCGCAGGGCACGGGGATGGCTCTCACGTGAGGGGGGGGGGGATGCTCCAGCACATGACCCTCTGAGAAACGCCTCGGTCCCCCGAATTTTAGAGGAACCCCCCCCCCACTTTGCACAATGTGTGCATTTCTAGCTGCGCCCAGCTGGTGCTGCTCGTCGCCCTGCTTCCTGCTCCTAGGTGATACAGGGGTGAGCGACCTCAGCGCCCAGCACTCCGGTTGGGGGTTGTCCTTCTCAGAAACAACTTTTTTGGTGGAAACTTTCATTAAAAAGTCACTGTTTGTCCACAGGGGGGGGAAAAAACCAACCAAACAAAAAAACAACAAAATACCAAAACACCACCACCAAGAAAATATCACCACCAGAAGGCTGAGCCAGAACAAACTCGCAGTTGAGTGGCGGAGGATTTTTCAGGCTGGTTTTATCCCCCCACACCTTCCAGGGGCTCTTCCATCGTCAGGCAGCTTAATTACCCTTTAGTGAAAGCCTTTTCTCCGAGTGCCTCTAATTGCAAGCTTGGATAATTGGTCTCATTTTTGCAGAGCATGTTTGGAGCTGGGGAGCACTCCCCCGCTGGCAGGTGTGACCCTCCCGGTCTCCCTCCCTCCCTGTTTTAACCGATTCTCCTGGTTTTCTGCCCTCCCACCCCCCCACAGCTCCCAGGGGAGCAGCAGCAGCCCCTCGTTGGGGTGCTTAGCCCCCGGCATGGGCTGGCTCAGGGGCCTGACTCAGCTCCCCGAGTCACGCCCCCGTGCCCTGCAATTAGGAGCAGGCACAGCGGGATTCCCCCACCCACCCCCCCCCCGAAATCCCCAAAGCTTCAGCTCCCACCACAGGGCCTGCCCTCCCCCTCCCCAGCAAAGGCTTCCCAAGGATGCCAGCAGGGATTTCAGACCATCGGGGAGCGCTTGCATCATCCCTCCCCAACCCAGAGCAACAACAGGGAGGCAGCAGGGTATCAATTAAAACAAGTTTTATTAGAAAAGTAAAAAAAAAAAAAAGAAACAACACAAAACACCCCGACACGATTGCATAGTTAAGTCTTGCACTTGAACATCAAGTGTACGAGTGTAAACTGTAACCAATGAAGCACCCACGGCGTGTCACACTGAGGGGTCCTGCCCTCCGGCCCTGTGTCACCTCGCACGCCCCCCTTCCCCTCTTGTGATCAAAGACACAACGTGATTTTGGGCCCCCCCCCCCCCCCCGCTGTACTGGGGGCCCACGCAGAGCCCCACAGGTACCCAGGGATGGGGGTTTGGTCTTTGATCCAAACCTACAGCCTGGCTGTCGCTCACTCCCACAACACCCCCTTCCCCCAGAAACCCCATTGATTACAATCCTTGGTACAAAAAGAAAAAAAAAAAGAAATAATAAATCAGCCAACAGGAGGAAACCATCCGCCCCCCACCCCACCCCCCCCCCAGCAGCCCCGCTGCCACGTCCCGGAGCACGGTCGCCGCGATCATCCCACAATCATCGACGGGGTGAAGTGACCTCCTCTGCCTGGGTCCCCCCTCTGCTCCAGGGATGCCCCGGCACGGGCAGGCACCCCCCGGGGGACCTCCGCCTGCCCAAACTACAGCCCTAACTCCAGCCTAACCTAAACTACAGCGGCTGCTGCCGGGGAGCCGCCACGCTCTAACTGGCTCTTCCAAAGCACTTGGGTAAGTCGCTTTTTTCTGCGGCGCGGCCCGTCAGCACTCCTCTATGAGCAGCTGCTCGGAGCTGTAGAGCTTCTTCTTGATGACCCTGAAGCCCGTGCTCAGCTTCAGCGGCGCGAAAGCCGGCCCGGAGGTGAAGAGTCCCTGGATCTTGGGCCAGAGGCGGGAGTCCAGCCGGAGCACCAAGGTGAGCTGGAAGGTGGGCACCACGGCGGGGTCAACGGCGATGTGCCCTACGTCGTGGCAGGCTTTGCCGTGCTCCACGCAGAGGTCGAGGAGGGCCCCGCGCAGCCCGCAGGGCTCGCTGCAGGCCAGGCGCAGCAGCTCCGTCCTCACCTGCGCCAGGAGCTGGGCCGGCATGAGGAGCCGGGAGCAGCGCTTGGCGCCCAGCGGGGCTCTGCCCAGCGTGGCCTGGACCGCGGCCATCACGCTGGAGCACAACAGCTCGTCCTCGGGGTCGTGCAGCAGCTCCAGGTCCGGCAGCGAAGCCGCCTCGGCGTACTCAGCATCTGCGGAGAGAGGAGAGGGAGGGAGATCAGCAACCGGCCCGCACCCAGGGAGGGAGGGTGGCCTTGCGGGAGGACATCGAGCCCAGGGGTTTAGCGGCCCCAAGCCCCCTCAGGGACTCACCTCCCTCCGAGCCGGAGGCGCTGCCCAGCGACTCGCAGTCGGAGCTCTCCAGGCGGCCCCGCTCGCCGCCCGCCAGCCGATCCCACAGCCCCGGCATGACCCGACCCCGCCGCGCCGCCCCGCTGCTCTGCCGCCGCCCCGCCGCCCGACACCCTTATATAGAGGTGGCGCGGGTGGCCACGCCCCTCCAGCCCGCGCCCGCCAACGGGAGCGCGGGGCACGTCCGCGGCGTCTCTCCTGCCCGGTGACAGCGGGAGGCCCCGCCCCCTCCGCTCGGCTCACCCGCTCGGCTCCGCTCGGCTCCGCTCGGCTCCGCTCGGCTCCGCTCGGCTCCGCTCGGCTCACCCGCTCGGCTCCGCTCGGCTCCGCTCGGCTCCGCTCGCCCCCGTTTACTGTGGCCCATTAACCGGCGTTGGCCCCAGTTTCTTCAAAACATGAGGACCGCGGGGAGGGGGACGCGCTTAAAATTGGAGGGTGCTGAGGGAGGCGAGGGCAGGGACGGGGGATTCTGTGCAGTGCCAGGCTGGGGGGTGACGCACACACCACACACACACACACCCCCCCTCCCTCTGCCTCCCCCCAGGGGTCCCACAAAATGGGGGCAAGACACCGTCCTCCTCGGAGCCCCTCGGCTCTGGCAGCGTTCGTGTCCCCGCAGGCCCACGCGGGCCCTCCCCTGCGTACGTGACCTCCCCGAAGCCCCTGAGGCGCGCGGGGAGCCGTAGGCCGGCGAATTGTCGGTAAAAGATTCGGGTTTGACCTCCGGCCCGCTGCCTGCGGCTTTTATCAGGGGAACAACCGAAGCGCCTGCTCAGGTCACCCCGGGAGCTATCTCGAGTTCTGGCCTCCCCGAGCAGAGGCTGATAACGGCCCGGCGGTAAACACGGCGGGGATCGGGGCCCCCCCCCCCCCCCCGCCGGCATCGTGCCTGCCGCCCCTCAGACCTCTGCGGCGCGGGGAGACAAATCCTCCCGCCGAAAAGCTGCGAGGCGGCAGGTACGGAGGGTCCAGGCACCCCACCGGCGGGGAAACTGGGTTTTTTAGGAGTCGAAGGAGAAGCAGGGCTTGGGTCCGTCACCGTTCCGGGCGCGGAGGTCCAAGCCCGGGGAGCATCCCGGGGGAGCAGGGGGATGTGCGGGGAGCTGGGAACGGGCCCTGGCTGGTGCCCCCGGCATACAGGGCCGCTGCTCTGCTTTTTGGGGACAAAACATGAAGAAACCCCAACGCCTGCTGTTAAAAATATGCCTCGATACTCGCGCGCTCCCTGCGCAATACAGTGAAATATGCACGCGCGCGCTCGGAAACGGTCGGATGGTGCTTGGGATCCTGTTTTTAACAAAATCTAGCTCGTGGCTTTTTTTATTCCCCGCAACCACCGAGTCATTGGTACAAATGTTCACTGGGTAAGGCTGAAAATAGATGAGGAACTGCTGGCTTTGGGGTCAAAACGGGGAAAGCGGCAAATAAACGAAAAAGAGGTGAAGGACCACAGGGAAGGTGCCTGACTAAAAATAAGCTTGAATTCTGAAGCCAAGCATAAATATTTTTCTTTCTTTGCCATAACATCGCCTGGTAGGCAGGGGAGCAAGCAGCCTCTGGTGTGACGGCAGGTCTTAAAGTGAAACGTAATTTTTCGAGCTCTCAAATAAAATAATCCGAATGTGATGCTGCGCGCTCGCGCTTCTGCTGGGAGGGGAGGTGTTGCGGGGCACGCAACTCGTTTGCCTTCCCAAAAGAAGCTGTGACCTGGGCAGTTCTCCTGCAGCAGAGCTTCTAGAAGTGGTTTGGGGCTAGAAAGCAAAGTTTCAACTACAGTATTAGTAATCCCTGCACTTCCCCTCCCCGGGTACTGCTGCTGGCGTAAACCCAGCGCGATTTCTGTGGCCGAGCGGGGTGTTTTGTCCCTGCCGCCCGTGACCAGCCGTCCTTTCTGGGGAGAGCAGAGGGGGCTTCGGGATGGTGGATGAAAGTTTCTGGACAGGCTGTTCCTGGCTGGCTGTGCCTTGTGGGACAAACCCCCCCCCCACACCGTGCCCCCCCCCCCCCGCTTCCCGATGAGATTGGCTCCATCACGCCGGTTTCCAGCCTGGCTTTGCAAAGGGTTAAAGAGGGAGCCGGGGTTGGGGAGGGTCCTGGCTGGGCCCCTGCCTGGGATGTGCTGAGCTCAGCGGTTTTGCAAAGGCTGCAGGGGGGGAGGGGGCTGGGGAGCAGGAGGAGGAGGAGGAGGAGGAGGAGGAGGAGGAGGAAGGGAGGAGATGTACTGGGGGCTCAGCGAGTGCCTCGGCGCACGTCGGGTGCAAACCGTGCCCCACGTACGCTATGGGACACACACACACACACACACACAAATTCCTGCCCCGTGGGGCGGCTGCTGCTGCCCACGGTGCAATCTCTTTACGTGTGTTCCCAGCAGCTCCGTGGCCCCAAAAGTTGCTTTTAGGTATATTTATACATTATTTCAGCACACGCTCGCCGGCTGGGGTTGGCACAGAGGCCGGTGGGATCCTCTGCGTCCGAGCATTCACGTGGGGAACATAACAAAGGGGTTGAGCTGGGGGGGTGGGGAGGAGGGGGGGGCCACCATTTTTGGGGAGTCCCACAAGTGTCTGCAGGGTGGGTGTCCTTTGCACACACTCCCCGGCCCTGTCCTCGGTCACCAGGTCCCCAGCGGTGGCAGGGGGTGACAGGCAGACACAAGGGGTGACACACACCCCCCCCCCCCCCCCCCCCAGTTCATCCTCCGCCACCGTGGCCAGGCAGGTCTCTCCCCCATAGCCAAACTTTTCGGGCCCGTCTCTCGCCCCCGGGGACAAGCAGCTGCAGGCAGGGTCGACGTGCGGGAGCCAGGCGGAGAAACGAGGACCGTGCGTCCGAGGAGGGCGGTTGGAAAGGTTTTGGCAGCCAAGAGGCCGAGGGCCAGGTTGGCACCGTTGCCGTTTGCGGGGGGCTGTGAAATCCACCTCCCCCTTGGGTGCTTTCGCCCCGTCGCAGGCAAAAGCCGGGAGCTGGTGTTTTGGAGGGGGGATGTGGAAGGGGGTGGGGGGGTGGGGGGTTGCACTGGGGTGCTGCCCCACACTCCCACATCCTGGGCGAGGGGAGAGGCCTTCCCCGGCCGGGTGTTTTGGCCGGGCGGCGAGGGGAGCGCGTGCCTTGGCCGCGGCCCCAGCGCTGGGGCTGTGGCCAGCAGCGCGAGGAGCCGGGGAAGGGAGGCGCGAGCGGGGCTCGCGCACCGGTACATAACGTTCTGCAGCGAGCACCCACAGGAAAACCAACCAGCAGCCCTGAACGGGGCTCTTTGTTCAGCATTTTTTTTTTTTTTTTTTTTTATTTTCCCTCCTCTCCCCCACATCCACTTTTGCTCACGGCTGACGGGCTCCCTTCCCCTCCCCCTGCTGCTCCCCTCCCAGCTGCAGCCTCCAAATTGCATCCCCCCCCCGCCCCAGCTACTTGCAGAGCCCCCGGCCATGCTGCAGAGCCCCCCGAGGTGAGGGGGAACGGTGCTTCAAAGCCCTGAGGAAGAAAAGTTACCGCCGGCTCTGCCCCACAGATCTGCAAAGCAGAAATAGGGCAGCTGGAAAGTTTCCAGCTGCCAGGGAAAACCTGCGTTTGGAGGAGGGGGAGTGGAGGATTTGTTTGTTTTTTTCTTTTACCGTGCAGCAATCCCTCCGGTTTTTGCCGCCTTACATAAAGTGTTTACTGAGCGGGAGGAGGGAATCGCCAACAACATGTTTTTGCATTTGTAGTACTGTACAGGGTGAACTTTTCACTTCCTCTCAATGGCTCTCACACATGTGTCTATTTTGGTGCTGGGCACACATACAAACAAGCCGTGTACGGCACAGAGCCGGGGCCGTTCCCTGCTCCTGCTCCCGGTGAAATGGCTGGAAAACAAGGAATAGCAGGAGGGAGAAGGGGGGGTGGGGGGAAGCTGCCCCAGGGAAATCTCAGCGCCGCAGTATTTCGGACCCTTTGGCACACGCCGGGCCGGCGGGGAGATCTGGGCACCGCTTGGGCGCCGCGTCCCCCCGGCAGAGCCGCAGGCGCCGATGCCCCGGCGTCCCCGCAGGGCCGGCGGAGTGGAAAAGTTTCCGGCCGAGCTGTGAAAAGGCAAGGCGCTCGCTGCATCCCATCACACGCCGGCTGCAGCCCGCAGGGCTGGCGAGTGGGTGGGAGTCGGCGGGAGCGAGGGGGGCTCCGTTCCCAAACCCCGCGATGCTGTCTTTATAAGGGGGGGGGGTGGGTGTGGGGGTATTTTTGGCGAGTTTGGCCAAGGTAAGTTCAGGTGGTTGGAGCAGGCAGGGTTAAAAATAGCCGGTATAAACCAAACAAACAAGCTGCCAACTGAAACGCTCCCTTCTTTTCGAAAGAACCCCATCTGGGATGGAGTTTTAATACCGAACGCCGCGATGTTTGAGGCGATACTGGCCAAGGACCCCGCTGACTGTGCAGGAGGCCCCCGCGGAGCCGGGGCTGGCGGCTCTCCAGGACCGGGGAGGAGGTTTTCCGGGCCGTGCAGGGGGGAGGCGGTGCGGGACACGTCTCAGCTGAGCCCGAGGCTTACATGAGAACGCCCCTACACGGTTTCAGAAACCGCAGAGTAAATTTCCACGGGTGCAGGGCTGGAAGCAGGGCTGCGCCTGCAAATCGGGGCTGGCTTTTGGGTGGCGTGAGGCTCCGAGAGACCAGGTCTGGATCCTGGAAAGCTGACTGATACCAGGACTCATTTATAAACAGGAACAAACGCAGAACCTTCTCCCCTTAGTTTTAGCTAACACAAACTGTTGGTGATACAGCTCCGACGGGGATGGAGTCAGATGAATCTGTTTCTGTCCAGATGTGGCTGGACTGAACGAATGAGTGAAAATAAAACTGTCTTGTCAGTAAGATGTTGAAAATGGAAGAAATAGACATCCAGAGCAGTAAGTCATCCAACTGCTTAAATACAATGCTAAGCCGATCCCCCTGCTGGCTAGCAAAAACATGGTGTTAAGGCTCTAATCAGTGGAAAATTAACATGTTGAAATAGTTATGCCAGAAAATGGAAATCCAGTTCCCCTCAAGAGCAGAAGTACAAACGAAAAACAAGGTAATTAAAATTAATGGATTTAAGTGAGCGTTTTCTGCTGACAGAGTTAAACCAGGATTAAAATCTGATTTAAATCAATCCACTTTTGAGCATAAAGCAAGTGTGGTTTGGTTCCTCTCAGAGGGTTTTTTAAATTGAACCTAAGTTGACCATCGTAACAGCCAAGCTGAGCTTCATTAAACCTCCTGTTACCTACCGAACTGCTGATTGCTTCCTTTATCAGATCCCGCCCCCACACCAAGCTTTGAAAAGATAAATGGTTTAAAGGCCAGAATTATTTTATTATCCCAGAGCAAGCCAATACATAATAAAGGGGAAAAAGAGTTTCAGGGCGTTAAAGACACAGCTGCTACATCAGAGCGCCGTGTCCTACCAGCACTCACGGTGCACACGCAAGAGAAACGGCAATGGAGAGAAAACAGCTTTGGGGATACACGAGGTACCTCTGAAAAAAGCGTCACCACTCACCCCTCTGAACCGACCCGGGACACTTCTCGTCCTGTTCACCCCCCAAAATCACGGCTGGGGCTGAGAAGCAGTTTTGGCAGGGCGTTGTACCTCTGCTCTACAGAGGGCTGGCTTCAGCGGCAAAGATTCAGGCTTCCCAGCCCGCCGGGGAAAGGCCAGACTGAGTTACCAGGTTGCTTTCCCCACCAGCACGCCGTAAGTTTTCCCTCCTCTGTAAACAACAAGGTGATTCTCCGAGTTCTGTAAAACTGATCCTACCTCCTAAGTTACAGAAACGGAGCCCTGCCAGCCTGTAACGCTGCAGAGGACTTAATGAATCCCGTCATTTCCATTTACTGGCAGCTTTATGGGGGATCCCCACTCTCAAAAAAAAAAAAACAAAAAAACCAAACCCCAAACCAAAAAAAGCCCAGTCCTGCTGATGCAGCTGTCAGCACCCTGATAAATGGAGGTAAGTTTTGAAGCCAGGCCAGAGAATGTTTTTCTTCTGCGCCCTGACAGCAGCGATCCAGACACGCTCAGCCCGAGGAAGGAGTGAATCCCAGGAGCTGCTCTATTGGCTTGTACCTCCACTCATCTGCCTCCAGCTCTTCCACCAGACCGGCTAGTTTTTCCATCCGTGCGACTTGTTGATCTGTGAGAAGTTCAAAGGTAACTGCGGTTTGCAATGACAGCGCAATTAAACCTTTCAATGAGATGCAAATTCCCAGCTGTCAATGAGGAACAGAGCAGAATAAAACCCACCGAGCCAATTTGAACACAACCCACCCCCTCCCCGCCTCACGCAACGCCCTATGCAAACGGCGAGACCTCGCCAGATCCCGGGAGAAAGCAGGGACAGGCTTTTCAGCCTCACCCGGCGCTGAATCCCTATTTACCCATCCCTGCCCGTGCCGTGTAAATTCAAGTCCTAACAGGGAAACACGAGGCCGATTAGCGTATGGGGGCGAAAACAGGATGAAGCTCATTTCTTTAGCATAAATATTTATAGTGCAAAAGAACAGAGAAGTTCAGAGAGAGCTTGGTCAGCCCACGGTAGAGCTGGGTGCAGGGCGAGGAACTCCTCATTTTAATGAAGGTCCTTTGAGGAAGACCTGGATGACTGGAGCAGAAAGGCTCTGCAATCAGAGCGTGCTAATGACACGAAGGTCCCCATATTGAGACAGGCTGCCTCCCTGGGGATCCCCAAGACCACTTGTTTCTCTCAGCTTTATTTAAAACCAGCTGCGCGTTGGGCACGCAGGCTCCATTTTCAATTAAATTAGCTGCGGTGGTACAGAAATTAGAATAGTCCCTCTCTTGGCTCTGCTGGACGTTTAACAGCGCGGCGGCCTCTCGGAAAAACGGCCCGGTACGAGCTGATTTACTAGAAGAGGTGTAACATGAAATGTGCCTGATGTATGCTGGCTGCGGGCAGCAGTGGGTGCTTTTAAGAGGGACTGTTCTCACTCCACCTCCTGCAAGCGAGTGCTTTTGGGAACTGTCAAACAAACAAGCCAAAAAATGATGACCTCCATCTTTTCTGAAGCCTTTCCCCTTTCTTACAGGGAGGCAACCGGTGCTCCAGAAACCAGTTTCAAAAGCTGGTGCTTGTCAGGGTGTCAGTCTGTGCAGCAGCCCCCCGGTAGCTACAGAGCCGTGGAGACAATGGCTCTCAAGTTCAGCTTTGCTTTTTGGTTCAGAAATGCAGGATCACGGCCTTGCAAACCCCCAGGCCTCCGCCTGACAACCCTCACCGGTGGAGGACAGGAAACCTCTCCGGCCTGAGACAACACGTGGAAGTACCCATTCTAGCTGACAAAGAGGCGGGGACCAGAAAGGATGTGACCCTCAAGCAGCAGACGCGCCCCGGTGCCGAGCTCTGCCCAACGCCTTGAGAACAACAAAAGCTGCCGTGCAGTCGAGCCCGTCCTTGGGTTACAGGCCCCTGGGCGGCGGGCGAAGGCCCCAGGGGCGAAGCTCAGAGAGTTCAGAGAGTGAGGCTCTTTCTTGGGGAGGTGAGGAGCGGAGTCGGCCCCGTCACACCACGCCAGGCACCTGCGTGCCCATCTCCCGAGCACCTCTGGAAACCTCGCTTGACCCCGCCGGTGTCACGAGGGCTCAGCAGAGAAACAAAGGTGGAATCGAGCGTCTCTTCGCCCGAGGCCAGAGAGACAGTCAGCGCTGGGCCAAGATCAGAGCGTGGGTGTTTCCTGCCCATAACCTCCTCTTCTGGCCTCACCTCTCACGAAGGCAGTGCGGCACACAGCGATGGAAAAACAAGCTTCGAAAGGCACAGCCTGCTCCCACCCAGGCTGCGTGGGTTCCCGTCGCTTTGCGTAGGGCTTGCAGGACTCAGCGATGGTCTGCCTTGGCGATAAATTCGCCAACTTACAAGGCTATTCTGCTTTTTTTGTGGTTGGCACCTGAGAACATCTCAGCCTTTTCTCCGGGCTCCCCTGCCATCTTCCCCGATCGACACGCAGTTAAAGTAGGTGGTGCTTACCGTGTTTCACTTGCTTTAACGTAGATGCAACCTGATAGCTGAAGACAGATTCACAGAGGAATCTCTCGGAGCCATCTGTACACAGAAAAAGGGAGATGGTTTAATCTGAGTGCTTTAAGACTCAGCAGCCTTAACTGAGTGCTGCCGACCGTCTATTTTTACGTTCGAGGTGTGGGTTTCCCCACTTGCCTCATTTTGACACTCCCCCCTGTGCCGAGCGTGCAGCGCTCCGGGTTCCGGCCCCGCGCCCAAATCCTGTGCGGGGCTTTGGCTGGCTCCCCATGCGGCTGGGGAAGGGCTGTGCTACCTGGGAGACACCCCAGCTGGTAATTCTGTTACATCTCCTCTGTCAAGCAATTTTAGTCCATTTTAAATAGAAGGTAAGCTAAGGAGAAGCCAGATAATATTATGGCAGTCTCCACTTCCCTTGGGGCCCAGACGCTTCTGTCCCTATAATGCCTTATGATTCCCCAGAGGCTTAGACCATAACCCTGCATAAATGATTTCAAATAATGTGTATTTTGCCAGCTAAGTCAGTAATTGATACTGACATAGTTTATACTACTTCCTTCTAAAAAAAAAAAAAAAACAACCAAAAAATACCTAAGTATTTATTTAAAAACAAGTGAGATAGTTAAAGAAACAATGAAGTGGGGATTTTTGAAGAGGAAACTGGTATGCAGCTACCCCACTACTACCCACCTGACAAAAGAATGCATGCATCGACTTTTTATCTCAGGAATTAAAAAGCTAACCTAAAGCTTCCTGTGACAGAGAGGGTGTTTAGTTGTTGTTGCCACCCACAGCAGACGAACTACCGTGTTACTGGTAAAGAGGTCAGCCCAAAGCAAAATCAATTAAAAGCTCCAACCCATAAAAATGAGAAGTAATTTCAAAGACTAAGCGTCAAAACAGACCCTGGAAAATCAAATCCAAAGCTGAACCCCAGGTAAGAGGGCAGGGTTGGAGTTTCGCTGTGCCCAGAGCATCCTCTCACAAGCTGTCGAAAAGCTGTGTTGGTGCTGCACCGTGCTATTTCCAAACAAACCCTTCCCCCTCCTCCGACTCCCCAACCTGGCTGTCCTGCCCAGTGGCTCTCAGGAGGAACAGCTGCCTGTCTATTTGGTAACACGGAACGCTTCATTATTTTAATTCGTTTTGAGGACTTGTTAAGTTCTATGAGCAAGCCCTTAGTCATAATTACTTCAATAGACTGGCATATGGGCTCTAATGTGTAATAAAACCAGTCCTTAAACGACGCAGCGATCAGTTCCCAGCTGCCCTGCGCTGCCATGTCACTTCTGAGCTGCAGGGCCACCCGAGCCTCGGTCCCGGTCACCGCAGTAAACTTCAGGCTCACACAGTCAAGTGTGTGGCACGGTGACATGGGAAGTTCAAGAGGAACAGGCGGGCAGACAGACAGACTGACTGACCCTGGCTTAACCCTGCCATCCGGAGGACCTGCCCTTCCTCCTCACCCAGAGCGGCGGCAGGGAGTGCAGCTGCGGTGTGCCTGGGCCCTCCTCCTGGCAACCCCGACGAAGCGGGCGGCAGAGCTCAGGCACCTGAACTCAAGACGCCGCGCTGGATCAGAGCCCTGAACCTCTCCAGGCAGCCCTCGAGAAACGTCCGTGACAAGAGCGAGCCCAAAAAGGGAACGTGCTCAACCTCGAAGGATTAAGAGAGAGACCTACCTAGTCCTAATTTATCCTCTCACAGACCTCCGCAGCGAGGTTTTAACTCGGGTCAAGGGTAAAAGCAAGCTCTGAGTTTCCTGGCCAGCAGGAATATGAGCTGCCTCCTACTGCAGCCCAGTCAAATCCAACGTCAGAACATGTTTTGCCAAGAAAAATACTCCTGCCTCAGCTATCTTTACAGTAATTCCTGCCTGACATCAAAGAATTAGTTAACAATGAGCAATTAACACCGTCATGTTCCCTTTCAGGTAGATCGCTTCCTTGTCTGAAGTGTTGTCATGGAGCTAAAAAAAACAGGTGACTGCCAGAAAAATCACTTCCCGATGAACAACTGGTGGGAGAGCCGGGGCTGCTTGGGACCCACCCGAGCCCTGGTGCTTCCTTCCTCCCTCCCCCCAGCTTTTGCCATCTAAAGTCCAAAAAGGCAGCGGGGTGCCAAGCTTGGCTGCCTGCACACCAGGAGGAGCGGGGAAGGAGAAGGGCAGGAGCAATCACCTTCTAGCATCTCCCCAGCTCCTTTGGGGTAAGTGAAGAGGGCTTTTCGGGGCGGCGTCAGGTCCGAAACGCTGAACCCTGATCCTGTTACAGAGCTGCCGCTGACTCCACCGGCTGAAGAGGATGAGGAAGAGGCTGCCATTTCACCCCGTCCCAGCCTGGAAGAGCAAAAAGAGAGCAAAGCAGAATTAAGAAGGGTGTCTCGGGAGTTTCCCAGGGCACAAAGCCAGCCGCCGTGCACGTTATCTTGACCGCGGATGAAAGCGGTGAGCCCCGGGAAGAGCCAGCGAGCTCAGCTTTGGGCTGCTGCCGCCCCTGCTCCGCAGCCTCAAAGCCCTGCAGTTAGCTCCTGCACCACGCGGTGGCACCCAGAAACTGAAGGTAACCCCTGCTCTGACCCCCCCTCCCCGGACGAGGGGGCCTGGGAATTCAGCGGGAGGATCGGAGCGCGCATAAAAATAACCTGGCACAGGTCGCTGGCCTGAATTCACTGGCCTTCAGCTGCCTGGCGCTTTTCCCGCTCTCCAGGGTCATAAAAAGACTTTTTTTTTTTTTCCCCCCCCCTCCTTTTTTGCCTTGTTTCCAGGAGCACAAACACGGAAAAAATCATGCTGCCTCATAAAACCTGGAAGTCCACAGGACTGCCAGTTCCAGTGCCGCATCCTGCACAAAGCCACGCCGTGCCTAATTCTCAGCAACTGCTTTCTGCCTCACTCCAGATGTGCTTTTGCTTTTTAATCACTGCATTTGACCTCAGCTGGCAGCAGCGGAGCATCCGCCTGCTTGTGCCACACAAACCCAGTTACCTCTTGCGTATCTTTTTCTCAGCCTTATTTTTAAGAGGTATTGGCTGTAGGTTTGTCATACTTAACACTCATCACATACCTCTCAGATAGTAAAAAAGCTGTCACTTGGCACTTCTAAGTGACAGCACTCGCTACTCCTCTAAACCACTTATAAGCACTTCCCAATTATCCTGCCCATTTAATACATTTCTATTATCCTACCTATTTAAGACACTTTTGCAGACTCTTTATGCTATGCAGACAGTGCCTCTGGAAAGCACTCAAGGATTTAGTGGAGCAAATGGGGTTTTAAAAGGCTGTCACAACTAGGAATCCTGTGTTTGTTCACAGTTAAGCAGCCCAAGGTTGTTTCATTTACTGTACTACAAAACAGCCCAGCAACTCACAGAAAGCTGGGGACTTACAGCCTGTGAAGGAAAGTGCCTGGATGAAATAAATCTTTAATACGGCTACGATACATCCAGCAACATCTTCCTCAACAAACCAGGATAGGCCCAGCTGACTGCTCAGGAAGGAAGCGGGGTGATGGTTGACGCTGAAATGATGCCAGCCAGGGCTAGCAAAGCTGGCGGATTCCTAGCTGCAGGATTTTTTTTTATCTGAAATAGGCTGAGGCAAACACAGAGGAGCGGGCCAGCAGCCCAGGAATATGCCTGCAGCGCCATTCCCTCTCAACTGAGACGCCGGCCATCTTGGGACAGGAGCGGGGGGGTGGAGGAAAAGCCGCCGCACTGCGCATGCGCCGCGGCGCCTCTTGCCCACACTCCCTGCCAGAGGAGGTCAGCAACCTCGGTAGCGCCATAGCGCATGCGCTAGGCCGCCCCGCCCCGTGGCGCCATGGCCCTTCCCTGGCTTCCGTAGCGAGCCGCTTCTAGGTGAGTGAGGCCTCCGGCAACGGTTCCTTCCCTCGCTCCCGTTATAGCCCAGCAGCCGCTTTCCTCCCGGGACCCCACGCCTCCCGCCCCGTCTACCTGGGAGCCCCGGCTCCCTCCGAACCTCACCTGGGCGCCCGGACGGCTTGGCGCAGGCGGCGGGCGTGATCGCGCTCGCGGTGCATGCTGGGCCCTTCCTATTTCCGGCGGGGCGGGGGGGGGTGTGTGTGTGTTACCCTTGGCAACGGCCGTTCCGGCGGCCTCATCCGCTCCCCGGGCCTGAACCGGGCTCCGGGAGCGGCCTTGCTCGTTCCCCTGCAGCCGCCGGTAGCCCCGGAGGGGCCCGGCCTCACCTCGGGCTGCGGCCCGCGGCTGCTTTGTGCGGCACGGGCCCCCGTCGGGCCTTGCTGCTGTGGTGGGGTGCGGCCGCCCCTCAGTTTTTAAAAGTCAGAAATTGTCACACGAGCTCTGCAATTTAAAAAAAAACCGAAAAAACAAAAAACAAAACCAGTAGAACTGGAAGCAAACCCAACAACAACGTGATTTTTTTTCATGGCTTATTCTGCCTTCCTCTGTGCGCAGTTCACGTCTGCACTTCTTTCCCTGAACTACAGGCATGCTGCTTTATTTAAATGCAAGTTCAGGTGGTTGTAAATCAGAAGGTGGGGCTTTAATTGAGGAGAAAAGCATTAACCTGCTGAACCTCCATGTAATAAATCCAGTTTATGATAAATACATCTTCAAAGGCAAGCTCTTCATTTTTTTCTGTCAGGTTCTGTCTTAGCAGACAGGTGAATCTTCTGAAGAAAGCTGATTTTTTTTGGTGGAGGCTTTGTTTTGTGAAGAACAGAAATTTCTGTTTAAAAACAAGGCAGACAGAGAGCCAATGCTAACAATTTAAATTCTGAAGATGTGGGGTCTCAGACAGATGACTGCCTGTCCTTTGCTTTTGCGCCACTAAATGTTCACCGTAAAAAGTTTTAACTCAGTGCCTCATGTTTCTAACGTCGCTTGGAAAAATGCAGGGTAGCGTAAGACTTTTATGCAGACACTGCAAACTTAACCGTGGCGCTGTGAGGTGGAGGGCAGGAGGTGTAACCGCTTATACCCGTTGGTGCCGGGCCCCTCGGAGCGCTTTTTCCCTTCCCCAGCCACCCTCTGAGAAGAAGCCAGGAACTGGGTTTGCTTTTGAAAAGCTCCTCAGGCCTTTGAGAAACTAATATTCAGGTATTTTGAGAGAGGTCAGCGTTGTAGGGGAATCCTTGCAAGAGGCTGGGGTCTCTTTGGTCTGCAGCTATGGAAAATAACGAGGTGAAACTGCGGAATCCTGAGCAGTGATGAAAAAGGGATCTTGATTGAGGCCACAGCGAGTTTTAGCTTAAACCTGTGAGTTTCAGGGAGAACGGTGATCGGCTGCTGACCTCCCTGCAGGGGTGAAAAACCTGATACTTCGTTACATATCTTAGGTTGCTTAAATTTCCCGGTTTTACTTGATTGTGCTTTATGAGCTAACAAGGAGTAAACTTGTAAGCTCGTAAAATTAGTCTTTTATCAAATTAGGTTTGAGAAGGTATTGCTTTTCCAAAATCTCTCATACATACGTATAGGAGGAGTTACTGCACTTCTGGAGGTGCAGGCCTCCCTTTTTACTGCTGAGCGGCTCAGAGCTCCCCTGATGTCTCTTAGAAATTATCCACAAGAAAACGTCGAAATTTACCTTTACTTGACGTGTTAACAAAGCTGTCTTTGTTTTTGCGTTAGGAGGAGGAGCAGGATGGACGTCCTGCGGCCCACCCTGATCAGGATCGGGGGGCGAGTATACAGGAAGAATCTCATTCAAGAGCAGGCCTACCAGCACGAGGAGGACGATTTCTGCACAGGTAAAGAGTGCTGCGTGAAGGGCAACCGTGGTGCTGTCTGGGTGTGCTGTGGGTGAAAGCATCGCTGCCGGGGGCCTAGGGAGCTCCTGGAGTCATCTCTGATGACCTTGTGTGCACAAGGACCTGCCCATGCGGTGCAGTGAGGTGTTCAAGAGGGAGAAAAATGTTTGGCGTTAGTCCCCGATGATCCTGCTGGCCAGAGAGTGGACGTAATCCCAGTTACCTAATGTGGGTTTGGTTTACTGTGCTGCTGACTCTCAGTGACGTTTGCTGGCTGTGAAAGATCTCTGATAAAGAGGGACAAAAATGAGCTCCATAGATCTATTTTCCCCAGGTTCCTGAAGTGCCTTTCTTTTCAGTAGTGTGATTATTTGCAGATATGGCAGGAGTCGAAGCTGCTTGCTAAAGATCCTCTGACCTTGCAATGTTTGCCCCTTGAAGAACTGGCCTCTTATAATGTGGCTTTAGGAGGGTGTTACATATCTGGGGGGCAAAATTCTTCCTGTTCTGATGTATTTTACTTTATCTTTCTGCCTGTATGTTTGTTGTAACTCTGCATGAGTTGTGGACGTGGGAAAGCTCAGCTGTTATTTCTCAAATGGGAAGGGTTGTAGCTGTTGTGTCCTGTTTCTCCCTCCACCCTGCCTTTCAGTGGATTGAACAAATCTTTAATAAGCTGCTTTCCACCCACATTTGTCCCTGTATGTGCTGGAGAGGAGATAGAAACCATGGCCTCTTTCTGGAAGTCATGTTTGGTCCTAACAGGCAAGACTGAATGGCCCATGGATGAAAGGTGCATCTATCTATTCCTCCATGCCAAGGCTGTGAGAATTTTTCTGTTTTCCCAAAACACTGCACCTGAACCCCTCAACCAAAACTATCCTCACCTTTTATTTACATTGTTCCATGACTTTAAATTCCTGATTGGGTCCCTTAATGGGCTGGTGGCTTCCACCCAGCCAGGATTAAAAACCATTCCCAGTGGGTAGTTGCACAGCTTCCAGCGGAGAGAAAACCTGGGCTGCAACTACCTCTCTCCTACGCCTCCCAGCCCAGCAGATTTAGAAGCAGTCGTTATGTTTTCCAGAGCTGGTAGTAAGGTGAAATAAAAAAGCAGTTAGCTGCCATGGAGGGGAGTCCATTTATTTAACCTTGGGAGAAGGCGACTGTGAGACTGGTGTCCTATAAAAAGTGCCGCCAAACTTTACAGAGGTTGTACCAGGTGTGTTGTTTTGTTTTGTTTTGTTTTTTTCTCATGGTAGGCCCCAGTGACTGTGCAGATGAACCCTGTGATGCCTTTATGGTGGAAGAGACTGAGAAAGGCTTCCAGTGCAGAGTGGAGGTTCCCAGCCCGTTATACAAGTGAGCCTGTGTGTTTCTGGTTTATTTGAGCTGCCGCCGGCTGAGGAAGCGGTTGGGTACAGACTATTTTTTTTTGAGGTCAGGGCAAGCGCCAGATCTCTGAAATGTATTCTGTTACGTGGATGTGGATTTTAGCGTTTGGGAAGGGAAAATTGGCAATGCCTTTCTAGTGCAGTTGTGCCACGCTTGACTCCTCGCCTTCCCTGTGACAGAGACAGCAGGTGGTGCTTTCTTGCTGGCAGGAGAGTTTTTGAGCATCTCTTCCCTTGAACATAAAAGCGTCAGGAAGGGTGGAAGAAGGGGGGGAGGAACTGGGGCGAGCAGCCTGGCAGGGAGAGTTTGTGAAAGCTTTGAGAGAAAGCACACACGACTGCATTTGACTGTTGACTCCAAGCTGATGGTTACTGGGAAGCCTGAAGTGTTGAAAGCTTTATCTAGTTATTTTTGACAATTTTATTGGTTGAATAGTTTAACTGAAATGTAGAGAAGGAAAAGTGCTCTGTTATGTGTTTGGCTGCTGGCAAATGACTGCCTTGAGCAAACCAAAAGGCAGAAAAAGAGCCCTTAGCTCTTCATCAGCTGGGGCAACGGGGAAAAGGGATAACCCAGCTGACAGATAAGCTGTGGCAGGATGTGCTGGGCAGAGCTGTCTCGGACCGTCCAACTTATTTTAGCTTAAGCCAGTTGTGAGCCCTGGCTCAACATCATCCCGTGGTCCTGGGCTGGTCACGCGCAGAGTCCCAGGAGTAGCCTCTGTGCCTGGACCGGATCCTGCCCATGGATCTGAGTGTGTGCATCCCTCTGGCACGGAGACACCGAGTCTGGGGGGATGCAGCTGCCTGGAGCTAGCCGGGAGCCTGGTTCATCTGTGGCGTGGTTTGTCTGCTGGCTGGACACACTTGATGGAGAGTGACCCAGCGACACTGTGGGAGTGACTCTCTTGCACTTTTACACCTCCAGGTACATCATTGGAAAAAAAGGGGAAACCAAGAAGAGACTAGAAACAGAGACTCGAACTTCCATCAGCATTCCCAAGCCTGGAGTGGAAGGAGAAATTGGTGAGTTTAACAAGCACAAAATGGGTGTTCTCTCATGGGCTCTTGCACAGACACGATTTGAGCAGGGAGGAGCTATAGGAGGTGTTTTTCCTTTAATTCCTGCTTCTGACATGGCACTGACTCACTTTATGGCCCTGGGAAAATCACTTCACTTTTCTCCTGAGTTGATTTTTTTCTGTCTATAAATCTTTATGAAGCAGTGTAAGGTTTACTGGGGAAAAAACCCACCACATCTATTTTAAGCCTATGAATAGTCTCACTGAAGTCACTTCTGGGCCTTAAGTGACTGGCCTGAGAACTTTGGGCCTGAATGTGTTGGATTTTGTTTTGCTTTGTTTTTTAAAATAATACCATTTCCATTAATAAGAAACTGTAATATACATCCAGAAAAAGTTACCGTGCTGTATATTTATGCACAAAATAAACTTCAGCATCTGCTTTAATGTGAGAAGTGTTTCGATGATGTTGCTGCCTTTCAGGTGTTGTCACTTGATCCTGACAGTGAGAGCAGGCTTTCTTGTACCGTATGTTCCTTCTCAGCACTTCAAGTGACTTAAAAAGAAAGGAGGCATTGCTCGTGAGGGCTGGCTCGTGCGGGTTTCTGCCTGAGTGGATATCCAGAGGGCCCCTTACGCACGCTCCGGTGATAATTGGCACGGTGTGGAGTTACATTCGTGACAAGAGCTGTGAGGATAAATGACAGGGGGGATCCAGCTGTGGTGCCGCACAGGAACGTGGCGGTACTTCTCAAGAAGTGGGTCTTGACTTCTTCCCGAGAACTGTGAAGGACTATTAGGAAGGTTGAGAGATGTTGAAAGCATGTAATAACAGGAAGCCAAGAAAATTTTTCTCCTTGCAGTTCTTTGCTTTCAAGCTCAAGTGTTCTCTGTTTGGTGCCTTGAAGTGCATGCACAAACGATATAGGTCATCTTGATCTTGGATAGATTTTCTTTTCTCTTTCACTTTGACTGCCTTTATGAAAACTTGAAATAATGCTCCAGAAATCTGAAGAGCCACTGAAATGATAGACTCTTAGTTACTGTTTTTTAGGCACTTAGAGCTGACTTTCTTGAGAGCAGAGGGATACTTTTGATGGCATCATCCTGTCTTTACAGAGGAAAGTGCAACCGTGCCAGGAATTTTAAGTCAAGCAGGGAGTCTGGCAAGATTTCTCTGTACGTGGTTGGGGGTTTTAATTCCTAACGCCTCTTCAGTGAGCCTGGGGCTAACAGTAGAGAGGTGCCGTTGTGCAGGTTTTTCTAATTCCCTCCTGGCATCTCCTGGGTGAAATGTTCTTGCCTTCACAATATCCTCCAATATTGATATTTTAAAGTGCACAGGTAAGTATTGCGTAAATCACGATACGTTTAATTACTCTTTATTTTGCACGGGCATGCGTGTGAGTAGTCTCCCTGTAGCTTCACAGAAAGCGGACAGGTGTTGCTTTGTTTCCTTGTAGTGATCACAGGGCAGCATCGCAGCAGTGTCATCTCTGCCCGAACGCGGATCGATGTTCTCCTGGACAGCTTTCGAAAGAAGCAGCCCTTCACACACTTTCTGTCCTTTGCTCTCAACCAGCCCGCCATCCAGGAGAGGTTTCTGCAGTTCAAGGAGGAAGTGTTGGAGAAATGCTCAAAGGTAACGATCCACATGAGAATTAACATCAAGTGGAAGCCCTTCAGCAGGGTGCCATTTAATTTATTGAGATAGCTTCTTGACGTTTACCTTGAAGGCCTTATTCTATTCTATTTCCTAGAAGTGTAATTTTAACAGGCCTTTCACTTAAGTTGGCAGATCTGCTGTGAATTTGTTGAGTGCTGTTGTGAAATCTTCTGGAAAGTGGAATGGCTTACTTAGTAAATTGTTAGTAAAATATTTTATTTTCCTTAGAGATTTTCCTAGGTGGGAGGATATCTAAGATTCAAAAGAGGGTTGGGGTTTTTTGTTTTTAATAGGAAAGCCACTAAATAATGTAGTGGACCTTTCTGCATTTTATACGATTTCTGCATAGCTGTGAAACCAGGTAGGAATTCATAAGTTTGCTGCTGCTTCTGTTTCACTTTTCTTTTGGTTACTGACAGTGAAGGAGGATGGGTGTCATTACCAGAGCTGAAAGAGAAACGACTCGGTAGCACATGCCATCCTGCAAATCTAATCGCTTCCCTTCTTCCCCATGAGACTTTGTGCTGACAGTCCCTCCTACTTGCCTTCAGATCTCGCACTGAGAGCAGCAGGAAATAGTTAGGCATAGGGAAATGAGGAACAGAATGAAGTGAAAGCTGTATATTCCCAGGTTTATTTTAGCATGCTTCTAGTTTGACAGAAATGGTACGTCAAATGCACAGGGCCAGGCTTAGGAGAGGGAATGGTATTATTAAATCACCGTGTCCTCTGAGCCTGCTGGCAGGACAACTCTAGGCAAGAGAGGAGATTTCCTCTTTGTGGTCACAGCAGGTTAGATTGCATACATGCAGCAGGATTTTGTGGGCTAATATTCTCACCTTCCTGTCTGTCACTTCTGCTTGTGCCTTTCAGAGGGGAAAATACAATCAGATAGCACAGCTTAAGAAGTTTAGTTTCCTCTGTCTTCATGCCATGGGTATGACTTACCTGATGGCTGGGGAGATACGAGTTTGTGCTCAGGTTTTCGTGGTCACTTGCATGTCAGTTGTCTCATCTCCAAGAGCAGAACCGAGCTGGCTTTGCAGTCTTGTCTTTCCTGGCAGTTCTGATTTACGTCCCCCTTCTCTGCCCAGCTGCCTATTTCCATGACACCTTAGAAGCTTTCTGTCACTCAGGTTTCCACCTGATGTTAAATACAACTGAAATTGGCCAGCAGATCCAGGGATTAGCAACCAGTGCAATGCCACGAGCACCCTTTCCTTGGGCTAGGAGGATATCACTGGCTCAGTTGTCTGTCTCCATTCGCCAGCGGCAGCTGCCTTTATTAAAGCTTACCTTTATTAAAGGAAAGCCCTGAAGACAGGGGGATGGAAACATTAACCTGAGAAAGTGTTGGCTGGACAGAGAGTTCTGGACGTCGGGGCTGGCGTCAGTGGTGGCCTGGCTCCCTTTGTTGGTTTCTAGTTCCAGTCCCTGTGTGGGGATACACCAAAGCTGCAGGGAGAGAAGCAGCACTTTGAGGGGCCAATAACTTCAGTATGGGGCTCTGATAGTGGTGGTTCATGCCGTTGGCCCTGGACTAGCACTGCTTTCAGTCTGGTGTTTCTCTTGCCCTTTATCCCCTTCTACCTGGGCTTGTGGCTGTTACAGTCCTTCCGCTTGATTGCCCTTGAGATCTGGCCCTTCTCTGCTTGAAGCCTTGGCATCCTGGACCCCACTTACCTGATCCACCTCCTCCCTCTAGCTGTCTGCCAGCAGGTCCTGTGGGTCTGTCTCTCTTGTCCCACCCCATTGACAGCAAACCCAGACCTGCCTGCTCTCCAGGGCAGTTGCCTCAGTGTCATCCTGTACGTCTTGCTGGGTTCTGGCTTCCAGGCTTCCTTGGTGTCAGGCAAATCGTTTCAGTGTCACAACTCTAAGATGTGGCCTCTTTTATTCATCTTTGCAGGTAATGCTGTCATTTGTGCTCTCATCCTGTGTTTCACATAGGAGCACTCATTTTTCCTGCCTGCTGGTTTGGTTGCATCTCTGCAGCCCTCCGCTGGCCCAGTCTGGGCTGATGATCCTGCTTGCTCTCCAGACCCCTCCTGATTGGTCTCTGTCACATTGTTTATCTCTTGCTCACTCTTAAGTATCAGTTTGCATCCCCGGGTAGGCAGGGAGGTCTGCCATCCACTTCGAAACATGTTCATAAATTTACCTTGCTGCTTTCTGTGGTGTTGTCAGGCACATTCAGAAAGAGCTGTCTGGGAACATCTGCAAACGTGCGCCTTGTCCTAGAAAGCTACAGAAACCCAGGCTTGGTCAGAGGAGTGCTGAGACCACTGCTGGCCAGGCTCATCATGTTAATTTTTCTTCCTCTTGCCTGACCTTCTGCCTCTCCCGCAGTTGTTGCTCTGTGTCTGGATAGCACTGAGTCCTGTAAGGCTCTGCTTCGTGGTTAGGGATCCTGCAGCGCGGACGTGCACGTGAGGAACACATTTCAGCTGAAAAGCTACTTCGGGCTCTCAGTAACCTCAGGCCTGAACTGCACTCAGACCCAGGAGCCAGGCACGTATCCTCCTGATGCCAGTAGTAGCAGTATCTCTGAGAGAGTGCGGCTCTCAAGACATAGCAAGCCTTTTGCCACTGTCTGGTCATCAAGGTGCTTTTGGGAATCTCCCAAAATGGTGGCAGCTGCCCTGTATCAGAAGACAACTATATGGGCGGAGGCAGAAGGGCCAGGGCTGTAGTTTCTGCTCTCCATGCTGCGTGGATTCAGAGTGCCCTGGTCTGGAAGCTGTGGGTTTGTATTAGCACTGCTCGGTGCCCTGTGCCTCTCAGGAGGGCCTGAAATGTTCCTGGTACTGCTCACATCAGCTCTAGAGTTTCCATTTTTAGTTTGAAATGTGGAATTCGGTCAGTGGCAGGTATTTGGGGGTTTGCATATGTATAGCCTAGGAATATACGGTGCTTTATTTTTCTGCCCTTCTTTCTCCTGATATTAGCAAAAGGGTGTCTAGATATATTGCTGCCTGTTAGTTCAAGGAGTACATTGCAGCCCCTTATGTCTCTCAATCACTCCACCAGCTGGTAATGCCACTCTAATACCACTTTATCTCACAGCAGGGTCAGCTAGAAAGCGCATCAGTAATGAAAAACAGTAATTCAAAACTGTGCCTCATAGAGCAATAAGAGATCTTATAGATTTGTCCAAAGCAACGGGATTTCTCAGGATACTTGGAGAAATCTGAATAGGTTACAGTGACAGAAGCGGTGCGCTTCTCTTCCTTCTGTAATTTGCTGGTGCAAAACATTGCAGGATTAGGTAAACTCCAGTCTTTGAATGAAGCTTGGTAATAGCGGTAAGGAAGGGAGAGGACCAGGTGTGTGTATGTGTGAGGATTTCTTCTGGCCATTGAGCATTGTGAGGGATTCTCTTTCTCTCTGAAGCAGTTACCATGGCAACCATTCATTTATATTTTATAGCATAGGGTTGTGTTGGTGGGTATATGCTTTCTAACTTTTTGTGTGTGTGTGTCTTTAAGACCTTTTATAAGATGAAGCTTGTGTTGAAATGTGGAACGCTTCAGGTGTCATTCCCGCTACAGTATGGTCAGGGCTGCCAGGCAATGAAGCAGGGCTGAGGAAAGGCTTGTTTGAGGCTAATTTAATATAAATACGGGGAGGTGGCTCACCTGGATAGGCTCATTACTGATGTGGTGCAGTGGGAGGTCTGTATGACCTTGGAAGTCTCCTCGCACAGTCATGTAAGTGCTGGAGTGAGGAGGACTGAAACGTCTGTCTGAATATGCAGGTGGAAAAGGGAAGAGACTTTGCAGTAATGTTGCTGTGAAAAATCACAGTTGGGTCTTTCAGAGCTGTGCAAACGCAGCATTTGCAGTCTTAACAGGCTGCAGATGTAGCATGGAAAAGAAATATGATTGCTGTAATGTATGGCAACCTGTAAATATCAAACATTGCTAATGAGATATTATATCGCGGAGTAGAAGGGACAGAAAGTGGGAGGGGTTTTTCAGCCTGCAGCTCTTCAGTCCGTTCTGAGGAAATGCTGTTTTTCTGGCTCGCTCCTTTGTTTGTGGATCAGGGTGGGAGAGGGCATATAGCTGGCACGCAGTATCCTGCTATTAAGAAAAAAAAAAAAAACCAAAACCAGAAAGCTGTCTGCAAACATTGGAAGCTCTTCAGACAGTAGAGAGGACGCAGCCAGGGAGGAAGAGCTAAGGAGTGTAATCCTTTTCTTTATCATGTAGAAGGCCTGAAGTGTGTCGTGGTCTATGATTTCCTTTCTCCAGGGCCTTAGATTTGGAGGAATGGCGTGCTTGGGTTTTGCAAAAAGAGACAAAGGCTCCAGAGAAAACCTTGTCTGTGTTCCTTCTAAAGGAGGAGAGCAAAGGTAGAAGTCTAAGTAGCAGGAGGGAGGGGGAAAAAAATAATTTTTAAGGCTGAGTGGAAATGACTTGTTGTTTTTTTGACCGTGACAGGGCAGTGTCAGGGAGAGGCATAAACTAAAATGGATAGTCATGGCAATAGGGATGCTGTGTAAAGGAGATATTCTTCCTGACATGCAGTACATCCTTAGAGAACCCGAGTTTGAACAGTAAATTTTTAGAGAGACGATAGAGTCTGGTCTATGTGTTTGTATTTGCCAGCAAGTTCCTGCAAATACACTGCTACACTGCTTTCAGATGCCCTTGTAGAATATGGGGATTCCCTGCTGTGCCACCTCACCCTCCCCTAATCTGGTGCTCTGCTTTCATTGGGGCTGGCAGCCACCACTTGCCACAAGCCACTGTGGCTTGTGCTGTGAGGAGTGCCCACCTTCCACTGCATGGGGGAGGAAACTGGTGAAAGAGGAGCTTGTCTCCAAGAGGCACTTGGAGAGCATTGCTTAGATCCCAGTGGATCCCTCTGCCCATCTCCGATCCTGAATCTCACTCCTCACTTCTGCTTTTATGGTTGTAGGCTACCTTGGGAGGGTTTCTTAGGTATTTGGAAGATGTCCATAACACCCCAAAATCACAACGTTGACAGGATCACGTCTCTTGGGTCCGTTCTCCTTGGGGGAGGATGTGATTTTTCCTTAGCAGAAGTTAGGAATACATATTTCGAGGTTCTGCGTTGCTGTTGGCTGGCCCTGCTGGTCAGGTTGCAGAGGACTGATAGCACTAGACGGGGCGGCTTCCTGTGAGGCAACACAGTGGTTGCTGATAGCATATCATAATCTGAGATTAGAATAAGTGGGTTCAAGCTTCTTTGCACCTCGGCGAGCAGCAGCCAGCTGTGAAAGGCTGCTGAGACGCCCACAGGAACATTGCCTGTTCCAGGGAGAGCTACCTCTGGTGTAGCGCCCATTTTATACGTGGCAGAAGTGGGATTTGCTGGCCTATGAAAGAGTAAGGGTGTAAGCAGGGTTTTTAGGAGCTGTCTGAAATACTAGGGAGTAAACCAGGAAGATTATCTAGGTCTTGGCCTGCTCATTGTGCACTGCTCTTCCCTGCTAATCTCTCCAGAAGGGGTAGTGTGGCTTGCGGAGGTGACATGCCATCACTTTTGTCAGCTATCAGCCCACACTCAGGTGTTGGAAAGCTCAGGGGAAAATGCTGCTTTTGGGGCAGGTTGATGTTTAGAGTACAAATCATGCTGGGGCAGAAAATGAGGGTGGGGCTTTTGCTTTCTGGCCTGTGAACTGCTCTCTTGTTACTGTACGTCATATGTGCGCGCTGGGGGAGTGACATCGGCTGGTTGTCCACGGCAAGGATCAGTCAAACTTTCTCCCAGTTTCTGTTACCCGAGCTGTTGTTTTGTGATGGACCAGATACTCTCTGGCTACAGATGCCACTGGAGAAAAAAGACTGACGGAGCGAAATCATGTCCTGTCATGCATGTTAACAGCAGGATGAATTAAAGGAAGCCGCAAGGCTTTTAGTGCAGAGAGGGGAAGGTGGGGAGAAGTGCTCCTGATGTGCCTGCAGTCAGTCTGTGCTTGTTTCAGGCTGCTGCACGGTGCTGAGGTTTACAACATGCTTTGCCACTACTGGCATGGTGTGACTCGGGGTTTCAGTCAGCAATAAAGTAATTAGCAGCAGTGGAAGGTATGTGCATGCGCTTTTGTGAAGACCACCACGCTTTGGCAGCCTATGGCTGCGGGAGCAAGGCCCCGTGCTGCAGGCTGGCTTGTCTCTAGTCCAGCCCGTAAGCACTGCTGCAAAGAAGAGTATGGATGTTGTCGTTCGACATGAAAAATGCTGAGTGAGATGTGGGGCATTAAACCCTGACAGGCTGAGATACTGCAGTGTTTAAACATCTGAAAGGTTTTATTTCAAACTCTGAAGCACAGCTAGAAACTTCAAAGCTGTCCTTCTCAGTCAGTGGACTTTTTTCAGAGAAAGAAAGGCTTCAGTGGCCTGGCAAGTGGCGTAGGCTTCTTCTGGAGTTAAAAATGTAGGTTATCTAATGCGCTGATGGGAAATGGCTACTAAGTGGAAATAATTGTTTTAATATGGGTGTGTTAACCACCCTCGAGGTATTTTTATAAGTATCCTAGAACAAAAGAGCATGTGTTTTAAAGCTGAATGCAACCACTGCTCCACCTGGGAACAGTTCTTCCCCAGCAACAGCACACAGCTCTTCTTATAAAGGGAATTTAAACTTAATTCATCTCGGCAAACTATAGGGCACATGGGAACAAGAAAAATGTAATTATCGGAGCTGGTATTAGCTGAGCTTGTGTTGTGAGGTGCAACCTGTGTTTAGACAGGATTTAGAGACCATTTAGAGCTTGTCACTACAGCTGGTTCCAGCTTTATTGCACAAAAAAAAAATGGACTTAAGTTTTAAATCTGTGCTGACTTGCGTTGAGTTCGTTGCTGATGGCAGCTGCCGCGTTGACAGCTGCGGAAGCCTCCTCTCAAAATCCCGTGCGAGTGAGCGCTGCTGCTCCTGGGTCCTGAGTTAGAGCCCGTCGTAGTGAGCTTCCAGGCTGCCAACAGAAAGGCAGGCAGGGAGCGTGCGTGTGGTGGGGTGTGCCTCGCCTGCCGGGCTGAGCTTGCTTCCTCGCAAAGCCCGCGAAAACTTTTGCTTCTCATTTCAACTTTGAGTCACTACCAACCCGACCAGTGATGCAGAGATAAAAGGTTTGATGCCAGTGGCTTGGTACCTGTTCTCTGTAGTATTTATCCCTCTGATGGAGGTGGAGGTGGGTGTGTGGATGAGATAAGACACCTCGATATGATCGATTGACTGATTTGTAGGATCATGGGGTCAGCAGCAGCCTGTTCCAGAACCCTGCAAAGCTTCACCTGACTCTTGGGACGCTGGTACTTCTGAACAAGCAAGAGATCCAGAAAGCGTGTGACCTGCTACAGCAATGCAAAGAGGACTTTGTGGAGTAAGTGATAAAAAAGGGATGTCATCACCGAGGGCGTTAGTGGGGGAAGATCAGGAGGCTGTCTTTGACAAGGGACAGTGGAGAGGAAAGCAGCTCGGTAGTCTTATTTCAACTCTAGAAATTTAGAGAAAGGCTGAAACGTTTCAAATAGGAGCAGAAGAAATCACCAAGCGGTCACAGAGAGTCCAACAGCATTGTGCAGCCCAGTTCAAACCCTCAGCGTTCCCTGAAAACCTGCTCTGCTCATTTCTTTTTCTTACATGCATCCTCATTATTTTTGTGCGAGCAGTTTTTTGCTGTTGTCCACTGCCGGCTGCAGCGGGAGGGACGAGCTCCGTTACCTTCACACGTTGCCTGCAGTGGGCTCTGGCACGCTGCTTCCCTCCCGCCTCAGAGCAGATGCTGAGGTGTCCTTGACATGCATTTCTCGATGCGAGGAGCTGTGTGCAGGGAAGCCAGCATGAGCCATGGGAGTAATCAGTCTGAAGCGTTCAGTGCTGCTCCAGGACAGGGGCTTTCTTGCTGCCTGTTAACACTGAGCTGCAGATGTTAGGGCTTTAACTGTAAATGTGGTTGAAGAACACTGTAATTAGCTTATCTCTGTTCAGCTTAGAAATTGGAGATGGCCTGAGGGATTGGTTTATTTATTTATTTCTGCAAAGCCTTTGCGCATAGAGCATGGATCCTTGATATTTATTTATTTATTACCTTGGTGCATGAAGAATTAGCCACACTGTGCCAGATAATATCTGTGGGAATTAATGCATGGCCAAAATTCACAGCTCTGCCTTTAAAATGACGGCTTCAGTTGTTCAGCTGTTGATATGCAGGTGCGTTTCTTGGGGAAGGCTCTGCCCTCAGCATTTGGGAAGTGCCAGCTTCCTTGTAAGTCAATTGAACGGAGGCAGAGAAACTCTTTGCTCTCCATTTCCTTTAGTGGAGGGGGAATCAACACTTGAATGTAACCTTTAGGTTATTTCCCCTGCCACACCCAAATAAATATACTTTGAAAATTAATTTAGGCTCCCTTCCACCCACATAAACCTTCATTAGTGTTCATTTCCTTTGCAAAATGCAGGCAGTGCCGTGTGAAGGTAGATGTGCCCTTTTTGACTGTTTTTCAAATACGTGGCCTTCAGTGCTCTCGGTGTGATGTGCACGACAGTAGACTCGGGCTGTTTTCCTTCCAGTAAACATACTAGAAGGGGAAATCACTCTCTCCTTACTCCACCTGGGAAGCTTTGCTGAGAAGCTCAAAGGTGGTCTCTTGGGCGAGCTGAGCAGAAGTGAGCGAGGTTAGAGCAAAGTCACGCTCACATTGTTAACTCGTGTTTATTACCTCTGCCTGCCCAGACACTGCCTGTCCTTTCCACGAGACCTCGGCATTAAATGAGACAACAGCATTTACTCACAGGCAGCTTTCGCTGCGGTGCCCTGCCTCCCTGTGATGTTCTGGTGGTAAAGGCAAGGAGGCAGCGTGTTTGGAAGGAGACGCCCTTCCCAGTGTGTTTGCAGGTGTGGGAGTGGATATTACATCCTGCACACACTTTCAGTTTTGCCTTCCTGCAAGAGTAGCTGGAGCTGATTTTAAAACAGCTCTATTTACTTCCAGCATTTGTAAGTGGATGTTGAAATGTCCTTAAAAACTGCGTTCTGTACTGAGTACTTTTCCCAGCGAAAATCAGCGAGCTGGAGACTTTGTGTCACGATCGCTGTCTTCACAGGGAAGCCAAGAGTTTCTCTGGAATGAGAACTTGTACCATTTTACTGCTGATGGGTTTCCTGAAATGTAAATGAAGATCCCTGTGCTGAGACGGCCTGTGAACACCGACAACTTGACTTAATGTGTGTCTAAAACACTGAACGTGTATGAATTGAAGTGTTTTTACAGTATTTCTTGAGATGATGAGGCAGTAGCAGCTGTAGCCTTTCGAGCTTTAGAAATTAGGGAGACTTTTTGGCGTGTGGGTTTTTTTGGTGCAAACAACCTGAAATATATGGGAAGGAGAAAAACTCCTCAGTGGCGTTCACTGACCCATACAGTCTATATAACATTTAAGTCCTGCTTAATCTCAAACTTGTGTTTAGCAAGAAATGTATTTTATATCATTCCCTTAGTAAAACCTAACATTTAGTGTGTGCATGAGGAGTACTATGCAGTGTGTTTCAAGAGCAGCTGTGATGTTTTGCTCTTTAACATAAGGGATTTTTTTGCCTTTTAGCCAAATTACTGGAGGCAAGCCCCTGACCGTGGAGGTGGCAGGAGTGGAGTACATGAACGATGACCCTGCCATGGTGGATGTCCTTTATGCCAAAGTCCACATGAAGGATGGCTCGGACAGGTGAGTTCCCCATGCTCCTTGCTTTTATTTCTCCTCAGTGTGCTATGGCAGCAGTAGCAGTGTGACAGAGAAACCCTCTGCTGTCTGAAGCTCGTGGGTACTGCTAGCAGTCCTTGGGCCAGCAGTCAGGAAGATGAAATCACTCTTGCTTCCTAAACCAGTTAAGGCAGTGATGTGTTTGCTCTTTAAATCAGTCACCTGTGGTGCAGCTGAAAGGTGTCATTTGTTTCTGTAGCAGTCTGTCAGATTGAATAATGGTGTCGTGGCTTTTGCGGTGATAAGATGGCCAAGAAGATACTTCTGAGATGACTTAGAAGGTAGAACAATTTGGCCTCTGCTGTCTAGTTCCCAGCCTGCAATCCAGATTAAGCTGGACAACCATTCTGTGGCACTTAATTATTCTTAAAACCCAGTTACACCGGAAGGTCCTCAGAAAAGCATGACTTAGTTACAGGGTTGGTTTTTGTGTCTGTAAGCAACCTGGAACAAGCACTAGGTGTGAAATGTCTGTCTTCTGAGCTGCTGGTGTGAAATCTTGAAGCCTGGTTGGTGTCAGTGTGTGCGTTTGTGCTGTTCGCCACTGTGGCCGGTGGCTTTCGCTCTCCAAACAGCACTGCCCAGGATGTGGCAGTGTCTGAACAACCTTCCTCCATCTCATTTTGGACAAGTAGCCCACCAGTGGCAGCACCATCTTTTCTCTTAGTGCTTTTGGGAAGACTGGGGAAACGTAAGAGCTGTTGTACCCTCTGCTGCCGGTTGTGAGGTGGGTGGGGAAGAGGGTAGGGGAGTAGCCAAAACAGCTTTAGCCTTCTCTCTCTGAGCCTTAGCCTTCTCTTTCTCTGGCAGTGCTGCCCTTTTGTTGCCTGTTCCTGTTGCTAGAGGACAGCAGGAGCTATCAGGGGAGAGCACAGAGCAGTGCAGCTGGAGGGAGGCTGTGAGCAGGGACTGACTCAGGGAAGAAAGGACATGTTCTGGCATCTCCTTTCCCCCGGGGCTGAGGAGACAAGGGGCCCCCCCTGATTAAAACCGCAGTTTGGAGGCTGTGTTGAAGTAAGAGATCGGAAATGGGATAAGGAAATGGGTGGGAAAATGAAAATGTAAGAATTGCTGGGAGGCAGTAGGAATTGAAATCTTTTCCTCTTCTTGGCTCTTCCGCTTTGAAGTCTGTCCTACCCTGAAAGAGGTGAGATAAAACAAACAGGGTGGGTGGAGAACCAGGACAAGCTAGAGATCAGCCAGGAGACAGGAGAGGAGCGCAGGGAGAAAGAAAGACAGAAGCACTCAGAAAGATGAGACGGAGGCAGACTCCGGATGACCCAAATGCCCTTCAGTGGGTTTGTTGTAGAAGGTGTCCGGAGTGTCAGCTCTGAGAGCTGAGAGCCTCTTTCCTCCTGGGTCACTGAGCTCTGGATCATCTGAGGTGCAGTGATTGCGAGTCTGCTTGCATCTGAAAATAAGTCTGTGACCTGAGGAGCTCGTAGAGAAATCCTGTAGAGCCTAAATAGGGCCTAAAGTGAGGCAGTGATGTTTGCCTGCGTCTGGAGACAGCTTGAATTGTTGGTACTAGCACTGTGATCTGCTTCAGACGCCAGCTGTATCCGTTTTGCTGAGAACCCACTTAGCCATAATGCTAGCAGAAAATGCTGATGTGCATTAGGGGTGGCAGAACTGATTTTGGCAAGGGAGAGAAATGAGGTCTTCAAATCTTACCTTACTTTGGAACTGAAAACAACCCCCACCCACATCCCCGAGAAAGGGCTGATGTCTCCTCTGTCCTTCACAGAGATCTATTAGCTGAGGTTTTGTCCAAACCCAGATCTTGTGTTTTGCATGGCACCTGGAGGCTGCCAGACTTCTCTTCCGTGACACCTCTTTTGCTCTTTGCGTAGCAGCATGCTCAGAGAGGCCCACGCGGTTTTAAGCTTTAATCCTTGGCCCAGGCCAGTCCTGACGTCACCTGCAGATTAATTCTTCTGGCACTTCTCCTCTGACACAGTTCCTTAACTGTTAGCAAGCCACCAGAAAACTTGCGGGTTTGCAGAGGGGAAAGAAGATATTTTTGTGTTGATGGAGAGCAGTGAAAGCTTCTCCTGCTTCCTTTGAGATTCTAGCAGACACAGTGTTGGACAAACAGTGATCATAAAGAGGGGATAAATGGTGATCCCTCCAGAAACCTCTGCTTCATTTTCTGGTCTGCTGGATGGATCATTGCTGAGCAGCTCCATGCACCTCTTGCCTGCTAAAACCTGCTGTGCTTGGCGCAGGGAAACGGGAAAGCAGGTAGAAAGCAGAATTTCTCAGCTGCAAGGCCAATACTAGAGGAGAGCGGCACCCACGTGCTTTGTTGTGATACATCAGACTGCTGCAGTTTGCGTTTAAGAGAGGCGTGTGCCTTCCTGTCTCATGCAAGACATCTTGCTAGTCCTGTGTAGTTCCTGGCATGGCTGAGGGGCGGAGTTCCTTCCTGATCTTTGGATGATCTTGATCAGCTTAAGCTATAAAGCAGGAGATTTGATTTACCCTGACTTAGCTTGCATAACTGCAGACAGAATTAGGGGTTGGCAAGCCCTTCTGCACATCTAATGGCTCAGACTGAGAGAGGGATCATGCTCTGATGCCTCCCACACGGCAAATAATTTCCATTATAATTCATTCTAATTTGTTTTATTTCCTTGATTAACTTTATAACGTAATAAAGCACCATTTTCACTTGAGCTATTCTCTGTTAATTTGTTTTAGCATTGTCTGTAATGATATTCATTTAATCTTTGTCATTGCTAATTTTAAAAATCACTGAACTAAAGCCAGAAAGTGGTAGAAAACCATGACAATTGGTAGTTTGGGAGTCCTGAAATCATCACATGGGGGCTGGCAGCCCATGAGGGGCAGTAGAAAACCGGCAGTGGGGTAGGAGCTGGCATGTGGAGCGTGGCAACCCCAGGCTTTGGGCTCTAGCCTCGGAGAGGCCACACTCTGCTTCTCCTGGGAAGTGTCTCCTGCTGAGACGTCAAAGTGGTGGGACCTGGTGGAGCAGAAATCTGTCTCATCCCTTGGAGGCGGTGAGAGAAGCCCAAATTCTTCTGCATAGAGTAATACACTCTTGCCTTGTTTTGGGGGATGGGAAGCTCTTCGTTCTAGCACGTCCTCCGTGCTTTTGGGAGAGCTCAGGCACTGGAGGAATTTTGTGGGGCACGGCAGCAGCCTGTAAGTTCCTTCAGCTCTTCAGACAGAAGATATGTGAGCTCACTGCTCTCACCACCTGCGTGCTCCTCCGGCCTATCCTAGGACAGGTCTGCCTGCAGCTCCCCGCAGCCATGGCCGCTTTCATCCCCGACCGAGCTCAGACAAGAAGGTGCCAGTAAGTCCTTTGATTCTGCTTGCTCAGTAGCTCCAAAGCTGGAGTGTTCACCAGGGCGCGCTGTCTGGGTTTGTGCTCTCTGTCACCACGTTCTGGGCTCTCCCAGAAGTTAAGCCCAGTGACTGGTTTGCTTATTTGGGACGGAGAGGGTCCGAGTTCCAGCCTGGTGCACTGCATGGGTCGCGGTCCCTGAGCAGAGCAGATCCTCGAGACGAGGTGCCTAAGCCCCCCCAGGAGGTCTGCAGATTTTAGCATTTGTAAGGAGAGTCACACTGTGTTTCCTGGCAGTCGAAAGACACGTCCTTCAAGTCCCAATAACATCTGTCACTGTGAACAAGCTCTGCTGTGCTAAATCTGCCCTTCTTTGTGGAATATTCGCAGCAGAAGTGATCGCCGAGAAAGCTTTTGCAAAACAGCCAGAACTTTTTGCATTAGAGCTGAATCCTAATGGCTGTGTTGGCTTTCCATCAGAGACTAGCTCCCTTTCCCTGTGTGCGTGCAGAGACTTCATTTTACACATGCTGCCCTCCCTGGGTGAAAAGCAAAAAGCTGACGACGCAGGGGTTTCATCTTGGTTTATCCTGCTCTGTCCTTTCTGGTTTTGCCTTCCCAGATTGCAGGTGATCGCTGATAAGCTGGTGGAAAGGTTCGTGGCCTCTGGCCTGATGCTTAAAGAATGGGATAGGGTGAAGCTGCATGCTACAGTCATGAACACTGTCTTCAGGAAAGATCCAAGTGGTACGTATCCCTCATCCTTACTGATAAATGCATTTAAAGTAGTGCCTCTGAACAGGAAACACTTTTGTTGTCTTCTATGTTTCCTTTTTTAAACCGTGTGGTTTTTCTTAGTCTCAACAATACCTCCAAGGTAGTGGGGCGATGTCACTGAATGAAACCCAGAAGAAAATAAAAAAGCAATCAGCAGAGCCGGAGAAGGCAGGCATGGTTGGAGCACTTTCTGGATCTTTTCTAAGATTCTTTGTCATAGCTTCAGAAACACTATCGCCCAGTAGCACTCATAAGATCTGGGCCAGAGAGGAATGCGTTCAAGTTCCATGAGAGGTCTTGGGCTCTCTGTGCCCCAACATTAAATTGAAATTCAGTAACGACTTGATGTGCTGTGCTGATCTTTAAACAAGATGAAAACGTGATCCTCTTTGGTCAAGTCAAAGATTGCCTGTTGCTTTAGGAACGTGATTCCAGTGTCCTTCTCGTTAGATCAGATTCAGACGGCTATGGGGCTGAATATGAGCTATTATTGAGTGTACAGTGTCTGCTGTCTCTGCCAAAAGATTGTCGGCTTTAGCAATCTGTAGCGTTTTTCTTATTGCATTACTTTATAAAGCAGCCTCAGATGCGTTGCGTTTAGGGAGGGGCAGTCTATTACAACCTCGTTCTCCATGTGCAGGCGTGCCTACGCTGTGGCACCGGTGTGTAGTTTGCAAGCCTTTAACAGCATTGCGCCGAAGCTTTTCCTAGCTTTCTCTGGCGCAGTGGCCTCTGTGCAATGCCGATAGGTTATGTGGAATATTCTCCAGTTACTGCCTCTCGGAGTCTCTGGACGGACAGCGATAACAGCAGGTGGTTTGTGTTACAGTTTTCTGTGCACCCAGCGGCAGACTTTGGGGATGACTGCTACTAAAGTCAGATAAGCGTACTCGGGCGGTAGAAGCCCTGAAAAGATGGGGCTTAGCTCTCTCCAGTTGAGCCCTGAAAATTGGTGAGAATGTAAGCCCAGAGTGCTGATGTGGCTCTCTTAGGGGAGGCACACGGGCAGCTGCATCTGGGATTGTGAGTCTGTATTCTGAGCAACCCCATGAGGCATGTGAGGCGTTCAGACACAGTGGTGAGAGCATTACACAGATCGCCCTGGAAGTCGCTTTATATTCAGTACAGGATTTGAGTAGCATGCTAGGTGTGAGTGGGACTTCATAGCTAATGCTGGAGATGAAACAGAAGTATTGAATATATTCACTGAGTGAGGCAGAGGTCCTGTAGAAAGAACAGATCATGTACTTGGGGATTATATAAAAATCCAGACGTGCTCTGGGGAAGTGGATCTAAGATGTAGGCATTTGGCATTTGCTGCAGGCCTAGGTTGCTATTCTTAATGCCTGTGTGTGTGGCTGCGTGCCCACCCCGCAGAAGCACACACACCACATGTCTGTGCTTCCCAGAGCAGGCAGCAGAGGTTTGTTTAGGTGCTGTCCGGATCGTGCCTGGCATGGTGCTCTCGTGCTCTGTCTGGTATTTGGTGCTGTTCCAGGTGATGCAAGCGCTCGCGGTGCTGACTCTCACCCTGGCAGGACGTGGGATTAAAATCAGCCGGAGAGAAGCAGATGTGTTGCACCGAGCCATCGCCCCTACAGATTTGCCCTAGCAGTGGCTGTGATTTAGGTTCTTTCCTCCAAGTAACGTAGGTGATCCTGACAGAGGCACCAATTCCTGCGTATTCAGCCTTGTTCTCTTTAAAATCGAAATATAAGGGTTTTTTTTTTGCACTAAAAACTGGGCAAAGATGGTTTATTAGCTGGCAGCTGACTTTGGGGAGGGAGAGAGTGGGGGGTGAAGTACAGCACATACAGTTTTCCCATCTGAAGCTCATTCTGGTGGTGGCTTTTCTCTTTACAGCTGAAGAGCGAAACAATACAATGACTGGTAAATCATCTTTCAAGGAACGGGAGTCGTTTAATGGCCGAAATATCCTCAAGGTCAGTATGAAACAATTAGGGAAATCGAGCCAGCCGTGGGTATTGTATAGCCAAAAGAGGTTGATACACCTCTTCAAGACTGCTTTTGTCTTAGGCTTATGGGTTCTCCCGGCGGGGAAATCTGTTTATAAAATAAACAATCCAGATCACTCGTAATTGGGAGCATTACAGCATTTAACAGAAGCGTTCTTAAAGCTGGTGAGGCTCGGATCAGGAGTATGTAGCTCGAATGCTAAGTGGGTGTTCATGTTGTCGTTTACTTTGCTCGTGTTTTACCCTGGAGACTCAGGCTCATGTCGATTCTCAGCCCACCAGAGAGGAGTACTTTGTTGCTCTTGTTCTACTCACTCGTATATATTTATGAAACTAAAACCGGCTGCCGTTTCACTTACTCTTCTCTTCTTTTTCTTAACCTCTGCTACTGATTTGCATGGTTTTGCTCCAGAAAAATAGCAGATGGTGATAAGGAGCCCCACCAGCCAGGATCTAAGGGCTTTGGCAGTGATCAGAGGGTAGGAGGCAAGATCCCCCACACCATGGAGGTGGGTAAGGCTCGAGGGGGAGCGTCCTGCAGCCTCCCAGGCTTTGTCAGCCAGTGTTGAGACTGCAGGCAGCCTCTGCTGCTTATCCAGATGGCAGTGTCAGCCCGATGCCGTGGTGCTTGGCCCCTGCAAGCGTCCAGAGAGAAAAGACAAGCACAGAGGAGTAGAAATGGAAAAGAAAACTGGGATGGAAGCAGATTTGCCGTCCTCATTGTGCGAGGGGATTTGTTGCAGGCAGCTATGATGAGAGGGAGATGGGAGAATGCTTGAATATTTTTGAGAACCGACAAAAGATATTCTGGCAACAGAGAGAGACGTGAGAGGGTGAGGGCTGGGTGGGGGTTGGACAGCCCAGGGGGACTTCAGGGCAGCCGTGGAGGGAAAGGGTGCACTTTATTTGTGTTTACAGTTTTGCTGTCTACTGTACTAGGCACTGGATGTGCGGGGACGTGGAGGCAGGGAGGGGAACTGATTGATCTCCTCTGCACAGAGGACAAACAAAGGGACAAAATTAGGTTAAGCTCTCATTGTCCTCAAAGGTCTGTGCAAGCGCAGTGTTATGACTCAGCATCGCCACATGTTGAGCGTTCGGGGTGAGACTGCAGTCTTGCAAAGTGAAGCAGGAGAGCCGCAGACGTGGTCCTTTTCTTAATGTGACCTGTGAGTTTTGGTTAGCTCCCGGCGGCAGAGAGGGAAGGTGGTACGTGTCGGGAGCCCAGCGTGCCTGCAGGGACCCGGCTTCCGAGGCGTCCGCCCGCGTTTCGCTTTGCCCTTTGCTCTTTTCTCTTCTGTCTGTTAAACTTGTCCTCAGACTTTAGAGGCACGTACGATCGAACCATCAGTCTGCCTTAATGCTCCTCAGCCAAAACCAGTTACGATTTGGAAGGCATTAACGATGCTCCCTCTACCGGTCACACCATTGGTGGACTGCACTGCGGAGTCTGAGGATCTGTGGGTCTGGCGGTGTGCGGGGGCATCGAAATGCAACTGCCCTACCTCAGATGGCCACTTCTTATTCCTGCTGCTCTCTGAAATACGAGCCGATGCATTTTTAAAGACCCTAATTGATTTTGTACTGAGGTAGCCAAAAGAGCTGCTGCCTCTTTGGACTGTTGATAATTACTTCAAAGCATGTCTTGCCGCAAGAAATGTCATCCTTCTCCCCCACCTCCACTACATTTCCTAACCTGCTCGCTTCGTATTTCCCTTTGGTCTCCCACGTGCCTGCAGCAGAACGCCCGTTGGCATTAATTAATTACATGAGTCATAAATAGCTCCAGGCTTCTTACCAGAGGAGCCCAGCCTCAGCCAGCCACTGATGCATTCTAGCATGACCTTGCAAGGATGTGCCAGTTCCCTCCCAGCCCCCCTTTTATATACATTATTTATCTTCTGCTCAGGGAGGCTGCCCTCTCACAAAGTGGCTTCATTAACTTTTGCAGTAGGATCTAAACGACAGGCTGTTAACGAATATGGCTGCAGTTAGGCACGCTGGCTCGCGGGCGCCGGCCCCTCAGAGGTAGAGCGATGCGCCCGGCGTGTGTTCCCAGGCGGTGGGACTCTGCGATAGCTGTGTTGGGTGGCAGCGTTCCCGTTTGGAAAGCCGACAAAGCACGGCTGCTGGTAGGAGGGCATCGAGTTGGAAAACTCAGCTTTCATGGCTCTCGTTCCCCTTGTGCAGCTGCGGCCGGCGCTGGTGGGCCGAAGGCTTTGCTCGGCGGACCTGAGCTGTCAGAGCGCAGCGGAGACGCCTCGGTTCTGCTGTTCCAGCCTGGGGCTCCCCCTGGTCAGAGGTGGGGGGGGCGTGCAGACGCGCTAGCAGCACATGTTTGCTGATAGCATGCCTGCGGTACCCCAGGCTCCAGCTGGTATTTTGCTTTCAGCCAAACTAATCGGAATTTTATTTAATAATCCTTTGTTCTACCCGTTCCGCAGAGTTAAACATACACTCCTATTTGTGCTAATAAATGGTTGTGCAGGCCGGTACCTTCCCACACTGCTCAGAAAATAGATCCTGTAGGATGAGTTGTGCTTGGGAGTTTAAATTACTCCTGTCTTGAAGACTATCTGTGAAAAAGGCTCCCTGGCCTAGCTGCTGCTTAAAGCCCGGAGCAGTGCGTGACCCAACCGCTGAGTGTTTTGTGTCTTCCACAAAAGCACTGGACGCTTTAGCATTGTGCTTGTCTAGTCTAGTCCCCAAGAAGCTGGGGGTGCTTTATGAATCACGTCGTGCGGAGCGGCGTGCATTTCTTCTAGGGCGGCTAGTGGCTAGCCGGCCGACTCCTTTGAACATCCGAGTCACGTTCCGAACTCCTGCTCCAGTCGGGAGCAGAGCGAAGGGAAGAGGCAGCAGTTTGCAGCTGAAAGACAGCGGCAGCTCCTTCCCCGTGAGAGTGAGAGGAGGGTCGGGCCGGGCGGGCGGCTGGCCCTCGGGGAGGGGCGGGTTTGGCAGCCCCCTCTGCCTTGCCTCCTCCCGTGTCCCGGGCGGTGGCTGCGTGCCCGTGCGTCGCAGCTGGCCGAGCGGCACAGCGCTGGCACAGAGGCGCTGGGGGCAGCTGCCGGCATCTCCGGAGACAAAGGCTTGGCTGCCTCTGGGCTTTTATTTGTTTCGCTTGGTGAAAAAACTGAGGCTGCTGTGAAGAAGTGAAAACGCAAAGAAATGCAAAGGTACCGCCCGGCCAAATTTTTCTGTTATACCTTTAAAGGTATAAAGGAAGGCTCGCAGTAGGAAGAAAACCAGCTGGACTCTCACTGAATCAAAATTGAATTATTTTTGACTCAAGGTCTGAGGAGTAAAAGTGGCCATTGCCACCTTCAAGCAAATTTTGAGTAGAGAAGATCAACCCTGCCGCTTAGCACAGCTCTGTGCATTAACAGCTTACAAGATTACATATCGAGGGAACAGCTACTGAGGTACAGCGGCGGAAAGCTGCCCATCTTATGTCTTAGTGCGTTAGGGAAGGCTTTAAGCTGGGATGCAAGACTGGGAACTGGATCAGTCGAGGCAGTGACACGTGCTGCTGTGCCTTGGGCCAGCAGTGGGAGCCGAGTGGCCGAGCTGCAGGACTGCTCTGGGAGGGCTTCGAGGTCAGACAAGGCGTAATTCGATGAGACTCCTTCTCTTTTGAAGCCTGCGTACAGGGTATTACATTATGGGACCGTATCTGCTTTCATTTGGAGCAGGGGGAAAGTGCATTTGCTGACTGATAGGCCGGGGCTCGTGGAGAGCTGATCGTAGCAAACAAATCTGGTAGTGTTCTCCGTTATCATTTTTATCATTCTGGGTGAGAACGGTGCAGTGGCTGTGGTGTGCAGTAGTTCAGTTTAAGACATTTGATGCAGTGCCATACAGAATGAAAAAGAAAAATCTTGTCCTGGCTAAACACACCAATCCCTCGAAATACCCCAAACCCACCAAGCACCGAACAAATTAGTTTCTACCCCAGTGTAGAGCCGCCACCGTTACCAACTCCCCTTGGAGATGAGGAGTGCTTCTCATGTTCTGCAGCCATCTGTACCCAGGCCTTTTCTGTGTAACTTTTGTTAGTGAATTTAAGGATACAGAGTCTTTTCCTGTTGTATTCTTAAGCTGAGGTGAAATCAGAAGGCCAAAGAACCTGCATTAGGCGAGATCAAGACTGGCTGGTGTTCAGAAAGGGTAAGAGCATCTTGTTGTCCCTCAGTGAGGTGATACAGCTATCTGTCCGAAGTAGGACTGGCAACTGGAACAAGTACCGAACGGGAGATGGCTGCTTGGAAAGTTTAGAGTTAAAAATACCAAACAAAAAATCCACTGGGGTGAGAACAGACTGAATAAGAGATTGTGGTGCAACATCACTGTATCAGAAATAAGCCAGTGCTTTCCTCGCCTCGGTTTTATAGAAGAATCAAAACCAGAAATGAAAGGCTGTAACGCCACTCTGCAGAGGAGAGGATTTTTGCCTTCGGTTCTGATCCTGCCATTATCGAGGGATACTGAAACGGTGGAGGGGGCTCAGCGGTGTGCGCTTAGAGCAGCAGTGGGATGGGAGGATGTGACAGTTGAGCAGATGTGACTGGAGATCAACGTTTGTATGATCTTGGGGAAAAATAAAGGAGATGAAATTGGGGTCGCTGTGATAACGCTTCCCTACGAATTATATTCTTCAGGAAAAAAAAAAAAAAAGGGCATATTCACGTTATTTGCATTCGGTGAAACAGGAATCTGAAGTGGCATTTGAAAAATCAGACTAGACGATAGAGGAAAAATATCTTTGTTGGACTGTTTGGGCCTCGGAGCAGAGTGACGGGGCGGCGCTGGAGGTGCTGAGAGAAGGCTGAGACTGCGCTGAGGAGAACGCAGTGCAAGAAGTGCAGAAGGTTTGTGCTGACTTGCCCGCGTGTGACAGAGATCCGTTTGGTGACCTTACCGTAAAGGGGAGATGCCTCTTTTTTTGCAGAGGTCCTCATCACCTCTCT